ATTGGTTTGGTTCATTAACGCAAACTCATTCGTTATTTTTTTTGTGTTCATGTGGTGTTGATTTTTGGTCACACGAGTAAGTCGAGTTTATGTTACAATTACACGTAATCTTTAACAGCTTTAATAAAACATTAGATTTTGTTGTTTTTGTCTTCATATCAAAATTTAGAAAATAAAATTTAACATTAATTATTATTTATCTTTGGATTAATGATTTTTATGTCAAAATTTATGGGTTAGCAGTGATTTATAAATACTAGTTCAAATGCTTTTACTATTGTTCAAATTTCTGTTCATATATTTATTTTATATGTTAATATAACTTACTATGATTTCAAATAGTATTTTATTTAATGATATTATTTTTGCTTTTTAAAAAGATATGGCTTGAGACAATATATACGGAAAAATCATTTCTATTTGAATAAAATTGATTGTTTAATTTAAACAGGACTTTTAAATTAAGTGTATAAGTCTCATCTAGATTTACATCATATTTCAATTGATATATTGTGAAAGATGTTGGAATTTGATCACAGCCTCAATGAGTTGCCTATTGAACGTATAAACCAAAAGTAATAAAATTTTGTTTTCTTTTATGTTTCTGGATTTGCAACCCTTATAAATTACTTTGTTTATAAAGCTTTATGTTTTAATAAGAATAAGTTTTCTATATTTGAATTCTACCAGTAAGTAATTTGTCCTTTGCAATGTTATAATTCCAGCTAACAAAAATATCTTTTTTTTTCTGTATTATTAAATTTATTAAGCGCATAGTAAGTTTTTAATGTACTTTTTTAATTTTGATGATTATATTTAAAAAGTTAGACACAAATTATAGTCTCTGTTTTCAAAGTTGAGAATATAAATGTATTAAAAATTATCCACCTTCAAATTTAAGCCTAATTATTATTTCCGAATTAAGCCGAAATTGGATTAAAGATAACAATAATTATTATTTGTTTTGATTATGATAAGAGGCTAAACAATTAACTACCGCTTAGTACAAAATTTTAAATCATGTACTCCTAAGTAACATTTACAAAACGGGTCTACTTATATTATTTTTGTGAGACTATACAACTAAAACCATATTACATATCCTCTAATATCGTCGGGATTTACAACTTCACATAATTCGTATAAAAGCCTACATCAATCATATTGTATTTCTATTTTTCTTACTGTGTGTCAAATAAAAATTTCTATTTTACAATTATTTGTGATAATTTTATCATATTGTAATTTTATCGTAATAGACCATTTACTTTGGATATAATTTTAATATTGCCATTTTCATTTTTATATGTTTTATCAATATTAACAACAAGGTAATCAAAGTTACCTCATTTGCTGTAATTACTATTTTATTAAAATTCTGTAAGAAAGTTACTTAAAAATGAATTTTTAATAAAAAAAGCTCAAGATACAAGATTTCATAACACACTCATTTAAATCATTTAAAATAAATTTAAAATGGATATTTTAACATCACCGTTGGTAATTATTCAACTGATGTTTTTATATGACTTAGTTTGACTTTACATGGTTTGATTTTTGTCATTCATCGTCTTAAGTAGACCAGTTTTATCGATATCTAGTCATATTATAAAAAAAAATGTGCTTATAATTATTTTAACTAACAATACAAAACATTGTTTACTATTATTAGGTGTAAATTATGACAATTTTAATGGATTCAAATTAAATAGAGTTGCAATAATTCTCACAATTTTTTTAAGAAGATAAAGTTTATCCAGATTAAATAATTATTAACATCTTTAATACAAATTGAAGACCCGCTAAAGTAGTTTTAACTTTTTTAAAATAATTTAATAATGAATAATTACAACAATTTTTCATTTTTATTTAAAATATAGTGGTTTTTATTATTATTTANTGTAGCGTATCGCGGACTAGACAGTCTGAACTGAACTAACTGAACTGACTGATTCTTCCGATATATATATAGCTCCGATAAGGCTCTCGCTAATTCTAGAATATTCTATACCCGCGTAGGTTATCTTATGGCGTTATCGAAGTTTCTCGAAGGTTTTTGATAACGAGAACATTCGAGAATATTCGTTGCGTATGTTTTGGTCGCTACAGTCTTAATTCCTTATTTAAACTGTTTGTCTTGTACCTATATAGAATAGAATAGATTTTAAGATAATTTAATTATGGAAGATATTTTAGAATACTTTGTTGCCAATATTTCATAACTATATGCTAGAAATGATTAAATTCTAAACTATACTATTATTTAACGTTAATGATAAATTGTTTGAGAAAATTACATTATATTATCACATTTTTTTAAAATTAAATATTAAATATATTAATTTTATTTTGTAATATTAAGATATTATAAGATTATTGCATGTGGACCTGGTAGGTAGAAACATATGTTTCGGCGCAAGGGGTCCCGGTTTGATTCCCAGAGTGCTAACGAGATTTTCCTTGTGATCTTCTCATTAATGGTGTCTGGTCTCTAGTAAAAACCGGCCATAACATCCGTCCCGTCCATTATTGGCCTAGTCAAGAATTATCTATAACTCACTAACATGTAAATGAGGCCCACCTGAATGAAAACTGATCATTATTACACGTGGATTATTAAATGCCATTCTTAATTATGAAAAGTTAATAATTTAGTGTGCAATTAGTTTTTAAAATTAACTGCTTTGATTTTTTGACTTAGCAGATAGTTGAGTAACGTTACCATACTCTAATTAATAAATAGATATTAAATGATATAGGTTTAATGAGAAAAATTAATTAGACGTCTATTGCGAATTGCAACTTGCAATATACTTTTAAAATATTATTCTAATTTTCAACTCATTACTTTGGTTCGTATTTCGGAAGATATGGAAATAATAAACATAAGTACTTATTACAGAGGAATTGACTTAGTATCGTCGATTTTCAAATAAATGTGTAACACGTCATTTTTACTGATACAGAAATGAAAACACAATAATAAAACGTCGTTATATTTTCATTCATTCTAATACTAAGTGCAAACACATGTAACATTTGTATTGATATATGAAACAACACATGGTCAAAAACAACTTAGTAGGATGCTAGCTATAACATATAATAACTTCCCAATCCCTCATACAATGTTTAAATTTTATAATGTCAGTATAACCAAATCAACTTTATGTCAATTTCAATTATTAGTCTTGTGTGAAAATGAACTGATTTGATAAAAAATTAAGTTTCACTGATTGACAAAAACATTTAGTTTATTTACAAATTTTTACATCTTCAACAAAATATTTTAATTGATTATCAATATTTAAGTTATTTTATTAAACCTTAAGATCCTATTTTTATTTTTTATTTTGTGAATAAATATAGTTTATATAATTCTATACTGAAATTTATATTTTTGAATGTTTTCATAGATAACCAATGGATAGAAAAAAATGTTCAACCCAATTTTTGAAAATGTTCTAGAGCATCTGTCCTTTTTTAACTTATATCAAATTAAAGCTAAGATTACATAATTGTGAAAAATAGAAAAATGTTCCCAGTATAATGTTTTTATTAGTTATTTCATTTTAGAGTCGAAATTCGCAAAATTTCAAAAAAAAATTTCAATTTGTTATAATTTTTTCAAAAATACCCTGAACCTATTGAAATTTGAATACAGTAAACTAAAGACAATAAGCTTTTTTTGTTTTTGTTAATCAAATGAATTTGATTAAATATAATAAAAAAGACTATAGTCGTTGGCTCACATAAAATTGTGTTATTTATACCATAACAATAATATATCAAAGCATATAAAATACCAACAATAATTAAAAATGTTACCCGTGTGACTGAAATTACAAATAATCTTGTATAATACAATAATAACGAATCGATGAAAATCAAGAAATATCAATAAATGTGCCATTTTGTTAAATACAAAGAATGCATAAAGCAATAAAAAGTCATCCGTGTGACTTAATCAATTAACTTAAACCAACGGTGTGGTAGTTAAAAACAAGGCAAAATATTATTTTTACCTGCAGGTTTAAATACAATACTTCAACATAACAAATGATTATTAAAATCTTCTACAGTTTACAATAAAAAAAAATTTACAATTTCATAGTAAAACTAACACTTTTTTTCTATCTTATAACCTATTTTTGACAACAGTAGATTTTACATTAAAAATTCACTGCCGAAAGTGATAAGCGACTGATAATTCCGTTCAGAGACCAGGAGAGTAAGGGGTGGTGAGTGGACGGACATCTGAATAAGCGCGCGCTACATTCAAGTTCACATGCGGCGCGAATACTTTTGGTGTGCATATCAAATGAAAATTTTGAGTGCAATAAGAGTTTGAAAAATATTTCTTACGCTTTGAAAAAACATTATCAATTCAATGTTTGAAAATATTCCGGAGTATTTTGCCTTATTTTGACCTACATCAAATTAGAGTTCTTGTAGTGTATTACAATATTGGAAAAAACCTCTACGACGATTGTTTTACTATGATGTAACAACCGTCAAAGTAAAAAAAAAATTAATTTAAGAATCATTTAATATTTGGGTGAAATTTAAAAACCAAAAATGTGAAATTACAAATTTACAAATCATTGTTAAGTTAAACTGATTCTCATCGAAGCGCTTTTTTTTATTATAGTGGTACTAATGTCTGTCAGGTATCGTCTATACTTTTCTCGACTATCCCGCGACACCACAGTTTTGGTTTTTTTTTTATTTATACTTACCTGTCTAAAGTTAAGTTTAAACAACTTAGAAGTGTTTGAAGTATCTAGGTCAGGATATATCATTGTCGATAATACGATATTTAATAGATGATCTTCGTATAAGAAAATTATATTTCTATCTTTAAATAGTATTAGATTAAAATTAATTATTTTTTATGCATGAAGAACACAGATACATAGTTGTAGTTATAAATGAAAAAAAAAGTAACATTGTAATTCGTACCATAATAATTTTTAATTATCTTTTTTATAACTTTACAGAGTCCACGAAACGGATGGATCATTTTTTGAAAAATATAGTAGCCTTCAATGGAAATTGGATCAAAGACGCTTACAGATGGTTAAGGATAGTCGACAAGATGAATGTCCACCACCCGAGCTTAATGTAGGCGTCAAACCTCCACCAGTTTCCAGCATTCAACCTAAAGAGGTATGTAAACCGTATATTTAGAAAACTAATTATTTTTTGGGAAAAAAATTGAACTCGAGTATGAATTTAATAATATTGAGTTATGACAAGTAAAATAATTTTTCTTTACTAAATAAAAAAACTACACACAATACGTCGTTGTTAGGTTAGATATACATTTTTGTGTACAAAACTGGGAGCTTTTATTCGATTATGTTTAGTTTACTAATTTTTCTTTAGTGTTAAATTGTTGAGATTCTAAGAAAAATATGGACTGTTGATGACGTTTTTTGTCATTTTAGATATGAGTAAGGAAAAAGTGTACTAAGAAATGAAAAATCATTATATGTTTTGTTCAGAATAAACAAAAACACATGTCACATGATATTTTCATAAAACTGTATTAATTAAAAATTGAAAATTAAACAAATAATATCTCTACTGCTTAAAGTTGTCTTTTGATCACAATGTTTTAGTAGATTTTAATTATGTATCAAAAGTGATTATGTGAACATAAATGATTTGTTCATTGCTAACAAATTTCATTAATATTTTTCTTTTAAATATATATTATTCCTAATAAATTAATCAGAAAAAAAAATAATATATAGAAAAATTAGACTTGACTTTAGTTTTTTAAATGAAAACATATATGTTTAACAAACTTATAAACTAGAAGTTGATCTTCTAAAGAAAATAATTGGACGATAAAAAATTTTGAACAAGAATTTTGGAAGTTATATTAATTATGGGTCTGTTTATTTTTATCTTTAGGCGTTAATGAACTGCATTACATCCCCTGCCTTGTTATAAAAATTCTAATAACTTCAAAAATACTTATTGAAAATTATATAATATTATGTTTTATATTTTTAAATATATAATTCAAGAGTTATAGTTGCATAAATGTAAAACGACAATAATGTAAATAACCACTTTATATATATTTAAATTTCTTATTATGTTTTGCCTAAATGCATAGTTTATTGGTTTAAATTAAAATCGATTACTGTTATCAAGCATTTTTCATTTTATCTATAATTATAATCTATTATATTATCAGCGTTTTTTATTTTTACAAAAGTTTTTGATAAAATAGAAATAAACAAATTCAAAAGGATTTTCTGAAAAATTATCCAAATAAATGAAGGGTGTCATTTACAGCTTTCATTTTATGACCGCTCGAATAAACAACAATTTTATACTAGACGCGATTTAGTTCATGCTACTAGTATTTGATGGTCGTCATTTTATACCATTCTATTAGTTTGGTGTGAACATTAAGCTATTTCCCAAAACTGCATTTTATGACTATCATATAAGCAAAACTAGTAGCTAAAAATATGTTACAACTCGCTAGGAGGGATTTTTATCAGCGGGTGTCAACTGATTTTATTTAACAGCAACGACCTTCTAACAACAAAAATGTATATATATACATGTATATTTGAAAGTACCAAAGTTAATAAAACTTACTATTAGAATTGTTATATTTTTTTCATGTCAAGCTGTCAAATGCAATGTGTTAAAACCCTTATCAGAGCAAAGGGATAAACGAACAATAAACAATGTCCTTGTACAAAAACGATTTCTTTCGTTAATTACATTCACCAATTGGTTTTTTGTAGTATTCACTTTTGGAATTGACACTATAATAATCAGACATTAATTAATTTATATTTATTTATATATTAAAGAAATTTTGGTTATTTAATGAAAGCGTTTTTACACGATGAAGATATTTATATAAGGCTTCATTTACAAATTTTTTTAGTGCACAAAAAAGAAATTGTTATTAATCTTAATTTCATCACATCAATACAGCTTTTTAAGTTTGTATTTTTTATTTAATGGACTTAAATTCATTAGGTTTATTTAATTTAACCATTTTTATTAATCATTATTAATATTAAGTAAGCGTAAGAATCCGTAATTATAATACATAATTATGAATTCCTAATTAAGTACACACATACAATTCATTGACCATATAAATCAATAAAATACAATTTATAATATGTTTTTTTATAAAATTAGAAATATGAAAATATTTATAAAAGTTTTTTGATTATTTTATTAATTAAAATAATATCCTTGATATTCCACTTTAACAATGGCTATAGAATAATTTCTCCATAACTTGAGTTTAATTTTCAACTAGCTGCTAACATATTCAATGAATTTTTGTTGAATTTCCGTTTCTGATAAGACAGGATTTGTACTTTTGGGTTATTTTTAGCTTCGATGCGAAGCTGAGAAGATATTGGTTTTACTATGATGTGTTTTTTTTTTTGTGTCTGTTACCATTTTTTCTCAGCTCTCACGGAACCGATTTCTTTTAATGATACATTAAAAGATCACAAATCGTATCTAGTCGAATACATTACCCTCAAATATTGAAAAATTTTCTCATCTCCTCGTAAATGAGGAAATCTCTAAAAAAATTACAAATTTAAAAATCGCTAATTTTCGAAATTTTTTCAATTTTTTTTACTAAAAACTGCCGTAACTTTTTCAAAAATAAACATATCAATATAATTTTTTTAATAGATGCTTGATGTCTTTACCTATCATTTGGTATATTTTTTATGTAAATGTGACCCTTTATCTGCCCACAGGGGGGGATTTAAAATGACAACTTTTTCACAAAAAATTAACTTTTTCAACTTAACTTTGGAAAATGTTTCGGAAGGTCTGACACTTTTATATATATCTTAAATTAAAGCTAATGTAATATACTTTAATTTGAAAAACAAAAATTTGACCTCTGGACTTGTATTCATGGTGAAAATGGCTACCGAATGCTATTTTTGTGTACATTTTCTCGATTTTATAATTTACATTTTTTACTTTAAAATGCTATAACTTTTTAGAAATGTATGGATCAATACAATTTTTTCATGAGGAGTAGTATTTATATACATCTTTCATTCCACATGCTTTTTTTTCAACCAGACCATTTCCCTATATACGGGGTGGCTTCAAATCTAAAAATTTCATATAGAAAGTAGAACTTTTTCAACTTAACTTTTGAAAGTGTTCCGGAATGTCTGACACTATTATATATATATCTTAAATTAAAGGTTTTGTAATATGCTTTATTATAGAAAAAAAAATTTTGACCTCTGGACTTGTCTTCATGGTGAAAATGGCTACCAAATGCTATTTTTGTGTGAAAAATCTCGATTTTATTTTTTACATTTTTAACTTTATAATGCTATAACTTATTGAAAAGTGTATGGATCAATACAATTTTTTTATGAGAAATAATATTTTTTAATAATCTCTTTTTTATTCGACACACTTTATCTTAATCAAGATATTAATAAGGAACTAGCAGATCATATAGCTTTTGGAATAATACACCAATTTTTTTAAATTAAACACTATCTAAAGATTTGTATCGAAGCGTTTTTTTTTTTGATAGTGATTTTAATCATTGTCAGATATCATTATACTTAATCCAACTATGCCACGTCACCACTGTGCCGCGACCCCCCTGTGCTGGTTTTTTAATCTAATGGTCGTTAAACACTAGATTTCATCTAAAATAATATAAACTTTATGACCGTTTTTTAAAAATTAATTTAAGTAGCTATTAGTCTTGATTTAGAAGTTACTAAATATTTTTAAGGTCACCCTACCCCATATCTTTTGTAAGAATACTAACTTTATTTGTTTCAATGCCAACACACATACTTTATAAGCTTAAATATTAGAAAATAATACTACTATGATAATATCGAGTCATTAACAACTTTTGAACCAGTATTTTGGATGTACTAAATACTTTAATAAGAATTATCTGAAGTGAAGCACGGGTCAGTCTATTTTTATTTCTTAAAATTTATAAAACCTACTAGTCCTCCCGCTATAATATAAAAATACTAATTTGTTTTAAAATAATATATAGGACTATATTTTCCTTTTTTTTGTATGTTAATTTAATTGTATATAATACTAATTTCTACCGAAAAAAAAAAAATTTTTTTATCTTATACCTTTAAAGATATTGCGTGAAATATATTTAATGGATCATTTAATATATATTACTTAAATCATTTAATAAACCATTTCCTGAAAAAGAGGATATTAAAAACCTAAAACCCAGAGAGATACTTAATTTCGCCAGAAAGACAGGACTCTTTGGTCATCTTTAGAGGTGACTTTATGGTTGGTAATGTATTAACACTTTGGTGATAACACTTAGGTGGGTAAACCGAATCAAAACAATTCGGTATGAGGTGCGCACAATGGACCAACAGGTCTGAGTGCATGGGCATTATGTCCACCTCAATAATAACTAAAACTAAAAAAAACTTAAATCATCCAAATAAATATTCCTAGAAATTATTATTATTTTAGAAGAAATTTAGTGGTTGGCTATAAATCAAATACCATTTGCTTTTTACTACTATACATGTTTAAAAAAAATAAAACATTTTTAAAACTCAAATAGGAACCTTGAAGATATTTAATGAATTCAGATAATTTAATTTTTACTATTTATTCAAATTATCTCTGACTAAAATTAATCGATGTTTGAATGCCCACATAAATACAGTTAGAAGAGTAAACAATTTTACAAAGGTGTAAAACTTTTATCTCATATTAGTTTATCATTTTTCAGATGGAACACTTGTACATGGACGTTTTGTATACAATAAAATACAAAGTGGGTGCTGATACAGAACAAAGTGCACACAAAGATCAGCTATATGTCTATGCACAAAAAGCATTCGACGTTACACCTGAACAACACCGAAGATACATGGCTATTGTACACGGAGAAAAAGTAAGGTGTTTTTGTTCACTAAATTCTTTATAATATTATAATTTACACATTTTACATTGATTAATATTTTATAAGGAAGCGGGTCGATTGTTAAAAATAATGAAAATAATAGAAACCCGTTTCCTTATTTACTTAACATTCTATCTATTGAATTTCATCGTTATTACTAATGAATTTTGTACTTATATTCAAAATATTGTCATTCAACCGTTATATAAACAAATAAATAGATATTAGTATACTAACTATCGTACTATTACATTAATAATAACATTAGTTAGAGTAATAAAGATATACTCAATATTTTCTATATAGTACCAATTTGGTTCTAGGAAGAATATAGGTACTAAAAAGGCTTCAATGACTATTAATAGTTAATAAGATGAAAATAAGTCTGCACTATTTTTTGTACATATAAAAAATTATTTCAATTTAAATCACTAAATTTGACTCCCTAAAATAGAAAAATATAGAATCAGAGGTGATGTAAAAAATTAATATGCGATTTTTATAAAATCGAAAGTAATACAGTAACAAATTAGACTGAATGATTATCTATAAATTTATTATCTCGTTACTAATCATAAGCTATCAGAAGGTACTATTTTAAGTATTTTGTTATTTATAGTATATATATATTTATATAAGTGTTTAATATATAAACAATTATCAGTCTATACAATATGATTTATTAAGTATACTACTCCCCATTTTTTTTTGTTAAATAATGATTTTTTTATAAAAATGTATAGATTAAAATTTAAGTTATTTTTATACATCATTATAAATATCAGGTTTATTGCAAGAAAAAAATTATTCCTAAGGGTAGATTTAAGGGGTAACTTTTCAGAGTCAAATGGAACCTATTATTAATGTTATTTTTATTTTAATTGGAGAAAAATAGTATACTTAATAAATCTTACTGTATATTCATATGGTATTAGACTTTGTGATGATGTGTACAATTCACATCTTAACTTATTTGAAACCACTAAAAATGCTTTAACTGAAACATCATTGAAGAAACACTATTGTATTATTGTAATACATTAAATTTAAGATAATTTTGACATACAAAAATTAAGATTTATTCATAATTATTAAGCTAGAAAAAATAAAATAATATTTTCAAAACAACTACCAATGTTAATTGAGTACCGGAATTCGGAAAAAAAACTCGTTAATGTGGAAATTAACTTATCAATAAAATTAAAGATCGTTGTTTATACTTTTGAACTTAGAAAAGAATGATAAGTAAAAAAATTTAATTATAATCTTAAAAGAAAAATATAGAAGTTAATTATAATAGTATTAGTAAAATTAAAAAGCTAATATTATTGATAATAATTGGTACGTAGTTTAAACAACACTGTAAGTTTGCCATTTACTTAAAATTGTTACATTTATATTTATACTTTATTTGAACTGTAATAATAGAATAAGGTTTATTAAAATTTAATTAATCAAATCATAATGTATTTTATTATTATTTGTTAAATATGTATAATTTAATTTATAAGTACGCCTATTTACACGACAAGAACAACTTTTGAATACAATAATTTTATTAATATAAATTTATCATTATGTAATTTAATAGCACATATTCAAATTTCAATTGTGTGACTGCCTTTGCGCTGATGTTCAGTAGAGGTATTTGTTGTTGGCTTCTAAATATGTGACCATACGGGAACTTTAACAGTGACATATACTTTGCTGTGTATATGTAGTATATAACGGGACATTTTCTTCCCTTACTGGCTCCCTCAGCCAAAATGAGAAAGCATCAAGTCGACATTTGATTTAAAATTTCTGTCGAATTGTAAGATAAAGCTGATCTCAAATAGTTGTCACAAAGGCTGAAAAATGTTGATGATGGTGTATTTAAATTTCAATGAAAATGAATTCAATTCAATTAACAAACTTTGTTTCTTTTACTATAAATTATAAAACTTAATAACTTGCTTGCGGTTATCTTTTGTATTCATAATTTTATACTCGGTTCAAGTAAAGTAAAATTAAGGTAGCCATTTACGAGTGTTAAAAGTATTCTTATTTCAAGATAATTATAATTATTCGTACGTAATAATTTCTTTATATTTTAAAAATTTTGAACAAGATGATATGATTGAATAAATGTTAACTTATCTTTCATTGGTTTCATAAACTTTTACTTTATATCGTGTTTAAAATATAAGTATACTAATTATAATATAGTTATTGGAAAATCATATGACTAAGATAATAACTGATAATGGGTTTATTGAACATGTATTTGGAAAGTTATAATAATTTTTTAATTAAACTAATGGAAAGCTTAAATCTATATATTTTTATCATAAAGAATTTATTGTATGTTCATTGTTGTTGAACGCTCAATATAAAATTTAATTTCAAATTTTAGACTTATTTTAAAAATTTGATGTAAAATTTAATTTTTCTCAAAATTAGATCATATTGATCAATTATAGATGTGCACACATGTAGTTTAGGCGTAAGAATTAATCTGTTGTAAGATTTAAATTAGTTTAATTACGTTTTAACACAGCTGCCAAATGAGAATTAAGTCAGTTTAAAGTAATTTGCCGTGGGATAAGACAATTTTTACATAATTTTATTTAAATAATTTAAATTGAGTCGTATAATTATTGTGTATTTCAATGAAAATATATTTCATGAAATTTTCTGTACTCTTTTATAGCTTTATAAAAATGAATATTACTGCCAATCTTAATCGTTTCTTAATGCTGGAATATAATCTATAGAATTATTTAATTGAGTCAGTAACTTTTTGGTTTTATTAATTTATTTTTAAAAGTTTCAATTTTCTAACTTTGTTTAATAAAATAAAGATTTTGTTGAATTTATTAGGTGTTTATTTGATTCACATTAAATGATAAAACTTATAATGTAATATTTTATAACTATTTCTTTTTTGAACTTAATTTTCCAAAAGTTTAGTATAAAATAATATACCTTTTAACACACAACTTTTTTCGTTTGAATTAATTTTTTAACTTAATTAGTGAAAGGTTGTAAATTTGTTTTTTTATTAAAAATTGTAATATTTATCTCAAAATTGCTTAAATCTATATTAAAAGAGGTTATATACGCCTAATAATACATTTAATAAAATTATTTACTAATAAATAGTATCATACATGATGCACCTTAAAACATAACTGACAGAAATCGAAATTTGTCGATTTCAAGTAATAATTAATAAGAAAAATTACCTCTATACAATGAAATAACGCCACATTCAATATCATTTTTTATTATGACACTAAAAGATGTGTTAGTATAGAATTATTCACTTTTTAGCTAATTTTTAAAATGACGGTGCCATATTTACTTTATGACAGTAAACATTTAAATTTTTTACATTTAATTAGTCAAATTTAAAAATTGCCTTATTACGGATCAAAAATGCATTTTATTTAAAATGCAAATGCCATAATTCGGCTGATAATATACAAAATGTACATAGATTAAATTCAATACTGCAATATTTTAATACATGTTTATCTTAAAGAACCATGGTTAACAAAGTCAAACTAGTTTGGTTTTTAATAAAATTTTTACATTGTAAGTTTTCTGTTATTTATTTTATAACAACTGTGATAAATTATTTGCAATTAAAAATAAATTTGGTTTCTATAGAAATAATCAGCAGACTGCTATTTTTATAAGTAAAAATATATATAAATATTAATTAGAAGATAATTATAACTATTTTCTATACATTATAATGTCATAAAATGAAATTAATATTGATAACTAATAAGCAAGAAAGTTTAATAACTAAAATTAAACTTCATTCTCAACATCTGGTAGATAATCATTTTTTATTAAAATTTTTAATTTTAGTTAATTTTATTCTTTGACTTTTATTTCAAATTTACTTTAAAAATATATTTCTATTTAAAATACACATCTACTCAGTTTGAACAAGGTAATTGTATTAGTTGATTTTATTTATTCAATCACGTCTTAACGTCTTAAAACTTATGTTAAATAATCTAGCGACCATTTAGATTGATCAAAGTAATTAATATTTAGAATAATGGCAGAATTATTTCACGACCTTCACCAAAAAGCACGTTTCTTAAACTTTAATACTTTAAACATTTTTATTAATTTTTAAAAGAAATTTAATCTTATACTTAGAGTAAGTTTTTAAAAAGTACTTTATTCGTTTAATTTATATTTTCAACATGTCAGTTAGACTAATTTTTTTCTAGAATATGGCATGGTGTTGTTGTCAAATAATAAATAAATAAAATAAAATAAACAAATATAATAAATAATAACAAAATAAGTGATAATATAATATACATACATAAAATAATAAGTAAACCATAAACTACAATATTAGTAATTACAATTAGTTAGACTAAAAAGATTTATAAATTTCTATTTTTTTAATTTTAAGAGAAATTTATAAAAAAAAAAATTAATTTTAATATTAATTATTTAAATGCATGTATCTACTACCAATTTAAAAATTATTAACAATTCAGAGTTGATGACAAATGAACAACATTATCTAATATACATTATTTATGTTTTCAGCCTCCCATTGTCGTTTTGCACGTAACTGTGGTTGAAGCAGAAGGACTTGAAGCAAAAGATGCCAATGGTAAGTTTTAAAAACTTATTAATACAATAATAATTGTGTCATAATGGAAAGAGTAGGTTTTAGATTTATAGTGTAGTTCAAACATTCTTAAATCTTGTTTTTGACTGAGGGATTTTTTACTATTATCATTTCATCGGCAGGAGATTTACATAATGATCCACTTATCATAACTCCCTCAATAACTTACAAAATAAAAATAATTTCTAAAATATTTTTTGGGGATTTCTTTAGTCACATATATTCTTTGATTTATAAGTTATTAATTAGCTTTTTATCTTTTGTATCTTCTAGGGGTGTTAACTTTGATTTTTAACAGAAACATCCACATTTGACTTTCTTATAAATTAAAAAAAGATCTATTAAAGAAAATGATTAATCGATAAAATCGTTTGGATCAGTATTTCAAACGTTGTTGGCATTTTTACACCTTGCCGGTAGGAAAAATACGACCAGGAAATGACTAGTGATAAAAATAATAACAACCGTGTCTCACATTTTTGTGTTTCGGAAGTTATTATCATTTTTAAATATAGACTGAAGATGAAACGTGGTTATTGTTATTTTATCATTAGACGTTTCTCGGTCGCTCTTTTTTCCCCACTTTGATATAAAACAGTGAATAACTTCTGTATTAATGGTCCAATAGTAATTCGCCATAAGTCATTTTCTTAATTAGATCATTAAAAAGTAATTGAGTGAAAGTAATTGAGTAGGTTATGATAGACGGATGAACCTGTATACAAGTTGTTATTTGAACATTAGAATAAAAACACAATGCGTTTTCTGCTTATAAAAACTGGTCGATATTGCAAAAAAGCCTGTCACACGGCGTATCTGTAGGCAATTTCGGTACGTTCACGTGCTCCGGTCCTGGTCGACCGCGGTCGAACAATAAAAATGTTACAACAGAACCCTATTTATTTATTTCTTTCATACGTTTTTTAGCTAAAATATTCTACGCTGCAGAATTGCGAAAATCATTACTTATTTCGGTATAACTCACGTTTTGGGTCAAATAATATCCAACGACATAATGTACATTTATAGTTTATATTGCGCACGTGACTAGTATCAAGAATATTGTGGAATTACTTCTAATGAAAGAATAATACTTGTAGAATCAAATTTGTCGGATACTTAACATTCAAGTAAAATTAGAATAATTGAACAATTTTTACTATTTCGAATAAAATAAATAAATTGCTAAGTTTATTTACAAATCAAGAAAAAAAAATATCCACTTAAAAATTTAATGTATTTTTAGAAACTCTATATTCGTGAGATTTTTATTTATTTTTACAAGAGAACATGCTTACAAAATACATAGTAAATAGTAGGTTTATATCATTGCTATGACGTTAAACGATTATGAAATCCAAAAAGCTTAAACATTATTATGTAACTTAATACTCAAATTTTGGAAAATTAATTTGTTAGAACATTCTTTTATTTTATTTGAAAAAACATATATTCTAAAAATATGCTGCAATTAAAATATCATTTTACTTTTAATTAGCTATAAATTTCTAAGTAAAACATAATGATGATTTATTTCAAATAATACTGTTGATTTAACTCTTTTTCAAAAAAAAATATTCCAAAATCTGTACATCACAGACAGAATATCAAATAAATAAAATAAATATTTATAATATATTTTAATACTTGATAATTCGACATATTTAATTAAGTCACAAAAACAGAAAAAAAAGACTGAATTTATACCAGTAGATTTTTTAATTATTGTTGTTCTAAAATAACGTCAGCGTTATGTTTACATTTACTATTTTTTCAGATTTAATTGATAATTTTTGATTCAATTATAATTTTGCTAATCATTTTTATTCAATAATTTTTAGTTACTCAGACTACATTTAAATCATACTTTTTATTATTTATCACTATTAATAAAAATACATTTTTTTTTTCTTCAAAATTTCGAAATGGTCGTTTTTTTTAGCAGTAATCGTACAAAAATAGTTGATTGGTTGACAACAGTTATTGACTAAATACACAGATAACTATTACAGAGGACAATCACATATTGAGTTACAAACATTTTAAAACATATGTAGTGGGTGTGTGCACACCGTACTGTTATACGCGTATCCCGCCTGCGTTCCAATACTTAATTGAAAATTACTTTAAATAAATCCTGCTCGGGTTACTTCATTTTTCACTACAATAACTGTATGTGTCTAGTTTATTAATATATATATTTTTTAAATATTAGTAATTTATTGATTACTTCTTTAGATTTCAATTATTTTTCATGTAAAACAAAATCTTACAAAACACTAGTATTTTTGCAATCAAAATGTTCAATTGTCCAAGCCTAAACTTTTTTATACGGCTGTACTTTTTTATACGTGTCTTGCACTCGTATATCTGATTGAAAAAGTTTTTTCTTTTTAATGATGGGTGTGTACCGCCTCAATTAAAAAGTTAACTCTGATAAAAATCATTGTTATATGAATAATTCAATTAAATAGTAGACAAAGTACGATGTACGTGGATATTTGAAATGAACCTAAGTAAATTAGAGTTTCTGTTCAGAGCGGACATTTACTAAATATTTTAACTGCAATTACTGATGAGGTTTGTTACTGGTATGCCTTTACTATTTTGGCAACAAATCCCGGATAAATTTAGGGTGTGGAATTTGTGGTCTACTATTGTGGTTGGTGGTTGAACAGTTGGTTGTTCTCTCGTCACAGGTTATAGCGACCCATATTGCTTGCTGGGACTGATGAGGAAGACTGATGAAACTGTCACAAGACTCTCCGATGGATCGGTTGAAGAATGCTCTACCGTGCTATCACCAGTCGCGCTCATGGCTGGCATTATCGGTGACGTACGATTATTCAACGAGCTGCTCATCACCTTCCGTAACTGTTCTTCTTAGTTTACCATACACGCATACAGTCTACACAATGTTTTGCTAATACACTGCAAAGTTCATGAATATGATTATTTTATATATTAACTGATCGTAGGCTATTACACATTGCTTGCTTCAATTTTAAACTGTAAAAATAATTGAAGGGGTTAATGGATAAACATGTCAAATCCCAACTACTTTTATCAAATAATTTAGTTTTTATTCATTTATTTTTTCAATGACCATACTATTTAATCGTGACACGGTATCATGTTTCCCTTAGCCACACATCACGTTATCAACCTATACAGAAGTATGTCGGGAACTGAATCATAAGGACGCGATGGGGCTTAATGGTAAAGTTAGTCTTCACGATGCTTTGGCCCGTGCAATGTAATCCATTATCATGTCTATTTTTTTCATATGAATTTTAGTACACTTTCGATGACCGTCCGTCGATTCCGGCATCCGTATCCACCATACTTATATTTTGCAGCTACTCGTCTCTGTTATTTACATTTATATCTGCTATTCCTGCAGATTAATTATTTATGATGTCGTTAATTTAATATTGTAGTTGTATGAAAGATCTTAATTATTATCTCAAGATTTATTAAAATAGGGTTTCATAACAAAAACCGAAAATATTTAATCAAGCGTGATTATCAAGTTTTTGTTGATAGTGTTGCTATATACGAGCGCTTAAAATGGCTCAGAGTGGTGTAAAATTAATAATTTCATAGTACCAGTTACAATAGACGTGCCTATTAGCGTTCAGATCATAATAATACACTTACCTCACCTGGCACTAACTTTATTATATTATGTTGAAATAAAAAAAAAAACATTCAACTACTACAATATAATATGTATGCGTGTCTTGCGTTATATGTAAAATAATGAGAAGAACTGTTTCGGTTGGAGGTAAGCTAACAATAAAAAATGCATTTCGTGGTGTTTTGATGTGAATTGTTGCAACTTTTTGAACACCTTTTTTTCAATATTTTTACCCTTCTGTTTTAATCTGTCTATCTTAAACCCATATTGCTATAACTATTGTTGTACTTTTCATTCTTCTATTTCAAGACCTACAATCATTTTGTCCGTGCAATCCTTTTGTTTGTTTATTAAGTTGATATTGTTTATGCTACTCTTTACGGCACATTTTATATATAATCTACTATTATAAATATTTTTATTAACTGAAAATATATTATTTTCATTCGTTCAAATGGATTGTAATTTTGACTATTCTTCATATAATTCCTTAAATCTTATCCTCTATCTATTACTTTACTATAAAATTAAAACATTTTTTTATTAACTTTGGTTTGCTATGTTCAGTAGAAGCTTTTCATAATAATAAAACAATTTCTAGTATTTACATTGCATTGGAAATTTATTTAGTTCTATAAAATAACATTAAAAAAACTCAAATTATATAGTTTATCCTCTTTTTCATTATTTTTATTTTTTTAAGTCGTTTGTAATTTTGTATATGTTTATGAAAATAAAAATATGCTTCGACGTTTTTTGTGTTTAAAATCATTTTTACAATTTTTCTTCTTGTTCGACTTTTTGCTAAGGATACATTTATGTAGATTCTGGGTGATTAGTTTTTTTACCATTATGAATGATGAATGATATATTCTCCTACGATATTACAACAAAATGTTTTTATTTGGTAAAACTTTAATTAATTATACTTCCTAAATTAATTTTAATGAACATTCACAAATATTCAAAAAAAAATTTTGAAGTTAATAACTAGTAAAACTAATAGTATAGTATCAGTTGATCAATTATATTAGTTAAAACTTGAATAAATAAATGAATAAAAATATCAATTTATTTATATTTTTAAAAATTAACTAATTTATTCACATATTTTGAATATTCAAAAAGCATTTTTGTTGTTTTTAAATTATTTTTTCAGTAATAATCCTCTAAAAAAATATTACTACAAAAAAAAAACTATCGTAACGTAATTATATTATATAATTTGATTTCACGAAGATTATATCTTTTCTAATTAAATAATTTTATTATTGAAACTTTAAAAAACTAAATAAAATTATTATTCCTATGGAAAATCATTATTTTAAAATTGTATATTTATTTTACATATAATGTTTATTTTTAAATAAATAAATGATCATACATAAACGTATCAACATAAATGAGAAATAATTTTACAGATACTTTTAATTTGACATAATTTTAATATACTATATTAAATTTAATAATGTTATACTTTTTTTAATGAAAAAAAAACTTTAAAAAATACATACATATAAAATATTATATTTATATTTACATATAAAAAATATATGTATAGACGAAAAATTAATTTTTCCTTTACAATTAATACAATTTTTAATTTTGTCATTATCTGATATGGCCCTTCTAAAGTCACCTTTGAGTTATTTTATGAAATAATGAATATTAGAATTAGATTAATGATTTTATGACTTTAGATAGATATCTTTTTAAGTCGAGACTAATAATTATGCAGATGATGTGAGACGATAAGTTTCGTCTTTGTAATAAATATAAAAAATGTGATAAATTTTTTCATGTATATCTTAATATACTACTCATATATAAATATATACAATTTTCAAACATTATCGTTTAAAAACTACATAAAAATCATGTGATGTTTTTAATTCTTGACCAAAAAATATTATAATAATATCATAAAAACATAATTAACTTAAAAAAGAAAAAGAAAACGCTTTTAAAATAACAATTTTGATTTCTAAGAATATATAAAAAGTCTTATTTTAATTATAATAATAATATAAATTTTTTATGCTATGTTCAGGAATTCACAATATTTTAGCACAGCCAAAACAAATATATATAGCCTGGAATTAATTAGTAATTAATAATATTAATAATTTATCATTTGCATCAAAATATTAGCCATAAGTATTTTTTTATATGTTCTTATATTATTTTAACTAAAATCAGTACATAAAAGTATTTAAATTCATAAAACTCAATCTAGTAATAAATGAACTACAAAATAATAGCTATCTCGGAATTAAATTATTAACATGTCAGTAAAAAATGTATATAATTGATTAATTTAAAACTTGGTATTTATATTTATTATATTTATAATTTGGTTTTCTTATTCTGTCACTTTCTAATTCATTTAGACTTTTTACTTGAGTGCAGATGTAATCTGCATTTCAAATTCATTTTATATTTAATATATTTCATTTCATTCGCAATATGCTATACGTTTAGAATTTTTGTCATTTCATATTTTTGTATGACATGGCATTAACATAATTTTGACTTGTTCATTCATTGTAACTATTTCAATCACCACAAAAAATATTTTATTGGCACAATGTAGCAATTTTTGATAACAAAAAGTCCACGTTCTTGGCAGGTATAAGATTACAATAATACATCAGGTTGGCAGTTACTCGTAAAATAATAAGGATCTCATTTTTGAATTTTTAAAAATGAAGCCTGACATCTAAAAATATGCTTAAAGTCTTAACGTCACAGATAGGAAATGGGTTTTTACTAAAATACCAAACTGTGTAGAACAAAAGATTAACTTTTCCCATTCTGTATAAATTAACTGAGGTGTAATATCTTACTATTTTATTTTTCACTTATTTTTATCGGCACATTTTAGTATTTTATTAATTAATTAATTAATTTCATAATATTATTTACATAGATTTGGGGTGAAATAAAGTAAAGTAATTGTATTTTTTTTCTTCTAAAAACATTGCAAGATGCATTTAAACTCTTCTAGTGTATTCAATTAAAAAAGAAACTAATATTTAGTATAAATTCTTAGGCTATATTGCTTATAGTATGATTATTGATTTAAAAATATATATATAATTATGACATGCAATTCAATTAAATAAACAATATTAACCTTAATAGACGTTTAAATAGTAATAACTTATCTAAAACTTATACTTAAGGATATTTTAAAACATAATATTTACAAAGCTTTTGATACTTTAATATAAATATTTTCTCTTATCTTTATACCTTGGTTAAAATTATTTGGTAGTATTATTAAATTATTTTAATGAAATATATATTAAATGTAAATGTAACTTTTATTTGTATATGGTAAGAGCAATGTACTAAAATTATTTGTGTGAAAAATGATAAAACTGAATAATAACTCTTGTAACAAAGTAATGTGTTGTATGTAATTTTCATTTCACAAAGTTAAATTTTTCAAGCATTCGGAATTAATTTTCATTTAAAAATTTTATTTATTAATTAAAAACTCGAGAAATGCACTTTATATATTTATTATTGAATAATATTTTAGATTATAACTCATTTAAATATTAAATTATTATTATTGCCTTATATTAATATAATATAACAACTTTATTTACACAACATAATATGTGATCTGGCTATGTATCAAAGTAATAAATTTATTTAACTATACATAATAGTGAATCTACAGTTAACATTTACTATAACAACATAAAACTCTATGAATATTATTAAAACTAGAACAGCAAAATCTTAATAATAAATCGTTTATTTCAAATTATAAACAAAAATTAATTTAAATTTCTATAGATATTACAAGAAATATATGTTTTATAGATCTTTAAATATTTTTAGGTTTCTAAAAAAATAAATTATGAATATTTTTCTAACACTTTATAAGCCCTTTAAAAGACATTGCAGCCTCCCTAAATGAGAAGGTTCTTAACAATTGATACTCTGGGACTGGTGGTTAGTCTGTCGCCGGAAAAATTATGATTAATATTTCTTAATAATTATAAATAAATTCAAAACTTCATATAAAATTACCATGAGATTTATATGATTGGGAATTGAATTTTCATTGGAAATACTTAATTTTGATTAATTATTTTTCTTTAAGTATGAAATAGTTTATTAGTTTTTTAGTAAAAGTTAACGGTTTTGAATTTTAAATTATTTTATACTTAAAAAATATAATTATTATTATATTATTATATTTATAATTAAACAATACAATATATTCATTTAATCGTTAATATTTATATTGAATTAACTGAAATTTATGAAAATCACTGTAACACATTTGAAATGTATTTTGTTAAGGATAATATCGATTAATAATAAGATATTTTTGAAACCTAAAAAACCCAGCAGATTGTTATATTTAAGTACAGAGTATATCTTATCAGAGACGAGTCTCAAGAGTATAAAAAGGTGAACCCTTAAACAAAGTTGACGTTTAATGGAAAAAACTTTTAAGATTTATATTTTATTGTAGAAAGCTGATTTTTTTCACAAGTTGTATACTTACTATTTTCTTTCTTTACTTAACATAACACGTGTGATGTAATTCTTTTAAACTTTTTTACGTTTATATAAACATTATTTTACACGGATTATATTTAAGCAACGAATTCTCAATAACACTCAATAGTAAATTGAAAATTGATTTATAAAACAAGTTGTTTAATATGAAATTAATTAGCATTCAGTTTTATCAAAGAATCATGGAAAAATCGTATTAACATAGTCAAATTAAAATTACACACTATGACCTACGTATGATAATAACCTATATCGATCATTATTGATGTATTATATAGTTTCAGGTTTTTTTATAATGTAATTCACATCTAATTAACTCTCATCGTTATATTCATAGTTTGTGTCCCAACTATTTAGGGTCAACTCTACCTTACGGTTTAACAAACAGTCAGATCTGCCGTAGACCTGACGCAACCTCATTAGGTTGGAGTGATCCAGTAAGGGGATAAAGTGTGTATAACTGTTAATGTTCCTATACGGTTATCCATCTGGGAACCAAAAGTAAATACCGCAGTTGAACATCAGCTCTAAGGCAGCGATTAAATGATTCACCATGACGCAAAGTTTTATATATACTGCGAGCCAATAAATATATACTAGCAAAAAACTTCATAAACGTATTTTAAACAACATGATAGTTGTTATATTATACAACATAATAGTTTCACTGTCAGTTCTTACATGATTGGCATGCGTATATTTTAGTGACTTCAAGAATTAAATATAATAATATGTATATTAACATTTTAGTCACACAAGATAAATGATTTTTGTTGTTCAAATTAATAAATTATAACTTAATAATAAATCTATTAAAAAAGAACGCTTTTATTTATTTTCTTTTTACTATCATTTTATCATTCATAATAATTATGTATAATTAATTGAGTTACTAAATTTATCTTTCATCTATTTTTATTATTGTTTTAAGGCTATTAATTTAAGTCAATCAAGTTAACTAACATAGAGTTATTGAATAAACTCTCTAAATATAATTGTTTTAAATTTCTTATTCATTATTAAGTATTCAATTATTTGTGCTATTTTATTTTAGATTGTGAAACATTTTTATGTGTTGTCGAGTATATTGATTAAAAAGACCTTTTATGATTTATAATTTGTTTTAAATATATAGGTTTTAGTGATCCTTACTGCATGCTTGGTATTCAACCAGGAACTGTTTCGCCTCAATCTGGAGCTGGTTTACCTTCTTCAGCTAACAATTCTTTACCTTATCAACCACCATTATCACCTAGACCAACTCATGGGACTACGGCTCGTACATTATCTGAGGGTGGCATAGAATTGCCAGATGGGCGACATGAACATCATGATAAGCTACGTAAACATCATAGGTAGGTTTGCCAAATATTTTTTTCGTTATAACACTTTTCTACTGTTTGATACGTTAAAAAATAACAAATATATATAGCAAGTTAGTATGGAAAATTTATTTACCAAAAATATTTGAATTCAGCTTTTTATTATTCATTTTACTCAAAAATATATTCCCCAAAAAACAACTTGAGGAAACTAGTGATAATTATATATATTTATAAATCAATCATGAAAAAATTTACCAATATTTATTATTCGAAATCTATTAAAGATAAACATTTTTGAAATAGTAAAATTGTCAAAAAAACTTTTCATAGTTGAAATTTGAAACATTTAATTTAAACTTATAACTCAAAACTACTTTTTTTAATAAATTCTTTGAAAATTGCAAAATATATGTTTAACGCTGTTGTTTTGACAGTTTCATAATTACTTTGGTGCATCGACTTTACTTTTGAAGTCATGCTTATATGTTAAACGTATTTTTTTATACTTTGTTCAAAGGAAAAATTAATAATAAATAATATGAATCTACTTACTTAAAAAAACAATTACGATGTGTTTGATAATATCAAGAAACATTTATTTATCGTTGAAAAGTATTATTTTTTCCCCATAATTAAAAATTACTTTTAAATTTCGAATACTAAAAAAGGGCCTCTTTATATTATAAAGTTTAACTCTTCACTAGCTGTAAAAATGGATGACACTTTATAGAGAATTATTCATGATATAAATATTAATAATTATGTGCATATGTAGCTCTATTACCATTTTTCTATCAGATGATAGTTATACACTCCTTAGCAGTGAGGTATTCAGAATTTTTCAAGAGGGGGTAGTATTTTTTAAAATTATTTTTTTGACTCAGTAAATATTCTCTGTATTGAGAATTACTACGACTTATATCAAAAAAATTAAGGTTAACAAATCAATTTCATTTTTTGAACCACAAAAATTGAAGCATCGCTCATAATTTAAAAAAGGGAGTTATAATCCCTGTATAAATAAAATTTATCTTATACATAAATGTAGCGTATTTTATATACAGAGTGTGAAGTAAGTAGAAAAATTGGTCATTTGTTACAAATTGTGAGAACAATAGAAACCCATTTTCTTACTTATTGAACATTATATACACATATGTATAGCGTGTATTAGAATAAATATAATAATATCTATGCAAATATATATTATTGCTTTTGATGTATGTCCATTATAAACAGGTTTGGAATTAAAACACAATTATCAAGTTTTGACTTTCTAAAAAACATGTATATAATTTTAAGGTTAATTTTAAAGATTTTTAAAGAATTTTAAAGTTTTTTATTGTAATTTTTTATAATTTTAATGTTTATTTTAAATGTAATCTTTAGTTTTCGATTGAGCTTTAAAAGAAAAGAAAGAGGAGGTGGTTCGAGTGGTGGTAACTATAGTAGTCGCGAGCATAGAGACAGTATATCAGCTGTGCCAGCCAGATTCATACAAGCAACTAGTGTGCGAAGAGAGACTTTAGATCCGAAATGGGGTGAAAATTTCATGTTGTAAGTAGTTTTTATAAATAGATCATTAATAACCTACCAAAACTGAATAATACTATAGTTTATTTTTATGATTTCAGTGATATAGATGATGTGACAAGTGACATATTACACTTAGACATTTGGTTAGTTAAATAAAACAATTTTTTTTGCTAATTCAATTCAAATATGTTTTAATTAATTTTTTTTAATAAAAAAGGGACCACGATGATGAATCTTCGGTTCTTGATGCGGTGAGTAAATTGAATGAAGTGCGAGGAGTAAAGGGATTGGGAAGATTTTTCAAACAAATCGCTCAGAGTGCTAGATCTGGCAGTCAGGATGATTTTTTAGGTTGCATAAATATACCTATACAAGTAAATGTTTTATTATAATTATTATTACTAATTAATGTAAGTGATACCTTGATAATAAATTGAGTTACAAAATAATGTTTTGATATTTAATAACTTGTTCATAGGAAGTACCGTCAACGGGTATGGATAAGTGGTACCAGCTAGAGGCCAGATCCCAAAGATCCAACATACAGGGCCGTATACGTCTTAAGTTATGGTTATCAACACGTGAAGACCACGGACAAGCGTGTGTACCAAACAATTTTGATAACTGGACAGACGTACGTCGTCATGAACGGTTATTGACCATATTTGCCGACTACGAAATGTCCCTTACTAAATCAGTAAGTAAACCATAAGCTTATGAATTTTAAATGTAAACGTTCTAGTTTATGCTTTCAGAGTTTATGGAACGGTGAACTTTGTAATGAAGCTTCGAGTATTCTCCACCAACATGCTGTACAAAGTGGTGTTACTGAACTACAGTTGGCCGTAATAAAATGGTTAGCTTTTAGTCATATACCATCTATAGATCCACAATTTTTGCTGAAACAGCTTTCCCAATTAGAAGCTGCTTGGGGCGAACAAAAATTAACAGGCGAAGAAGTTAGTACTAATTAAATCAATTTATATTAAATTTTAAAGTGCGAATAAAAATTCAATTTAACATTTAACGTTTTTTAGCACTTATAATACAACATATATACTATATATTAGCTAATATTAAATTTGCCCAATATCTTAGTTAAATTATGCTTATATGTAATAATAAATAAAAGAGATTTTATTTTATTTTGAATTCCTACGCGTTTTTGGGCGTTGGATACCAGATACCCAAAGGTCAACTGATATATTACTAGGGAAGGGATAAGTGTAGGGGTTTCCCGTTGCCTTCTACACTTGGAACCTGGTACCATTTTGTCATCGTAAAACGCACGTATGGTCACCCATCCTTACACTACGGCGGCAGGCGCGGCTTAACACTAGGATTTTGTCAACATCTAGTGTGTCCACCGCGCCACACCACGCCCAAATAAAAGGGTAGTTATCATTTATGAAAGAAGTTTTTTCAAGACTAACACTTTTTTATTCTACTTAAATAAAAAACAAACTACTATAAATTTCATTCCAATTCATTAATATTATTTTAGTGAACTTTAACGTGTATTATTCATTGTTATTATTTTTTAAATTATAACACTGTTCTTATAACAAGAGTTTTTTTAATATTATATATTTTTTGTACCTTATTATACAAAATTGTTATTATATTGTATGATAAAAATAATATAGGGTCGATAATTTTTTGATAAACCAAATAACTTTAGATCCAGCAGATATATTACATTAATTTTTTTTAAATAATTGATATAGTTTTGGACTACGTTAAGAGCGTATTATAACTTTGATGTAAAGTGGAGAAAGTATCAATTTAACTATAATTTTTTTTTTCTGTATCTCATTCATTTTCTTAGCTCCCATTAGACAATTTTTTGTTAGCGATACGTCAGAACATCACAAATTGTACCTCGATGAAAACATTTCCATCGTTCCCTATAAATAGAGAAAATTCTTTAAAAATTTTCAATTTATATATCGGTAAATTTCGAAATTTGTTAAACTTTTTTAAAAATAGATGAACCAAAATCATTTTTTATTGTAATATTTTAGGTATATTCGTTTCATTAGGTAAATGACATTTCATAATCTGATCCTTTACTTACCCAGATGTTTAAAACTCGAAACATACTTATAAAAAGTAGAATTTTCACATCTTTTTACAAAAAAAAATACAAATATAAACAAGATTTAAATTTTAATTATAAACATTTTCTGAGAATGTTTCGAGGGAAGTGGGTAACCAAAAAAAATATTCTAGATACCGATGGCTTATGATAAGTCACAATTTCAAATTCAATTTAAATTTTATTATTGAAATTTTTATTATTCAGAGTCAGATTAGTTGATCCTTTCATTTCTTTTTTGATAAATCCATTTTTTTTTCAATTTTGATACATGTTTGGCATAGAGTTAACAAAATATGCAACTACTTTTTAATTTTTTTACTTCTCCGTAAAAATTGCAATATTAAACTATTGAATTTCAATTCCATACTAAATATAATTACGATAATAAGTATTTAATCATGTATTACAGCTATAAAACATAAAATTTATAATCAAGATATAAGAAAGTAGGTGATTTTGATATCAGGAATGGTGGAATTATAATTTTTTTTTCATTTAATGTTTAAATATACTATAACGTTATTCAAAATTTAAATAAAATATAATTTATAAGTTTGTCATGTTTAATATTAAAATGTTAGTAATTTATTGCTTAACGTTTTAATGTTACTACATTTTTATATATAACATTAAAAAAGTTCGAAACATAGTTTGTTACCATAAGCAGTTTTAATATTGGAAAATTATTACTTTATTAGTAGCTAGAATTTTTAACTAAACGTTGAAAAAATTTATATATTTTTTTCAACGAGAATTATTTTTACATCATAATTTGTATTATGTTTAATGACATTTTACATTTATTGGTGTTACATTATTTGTTTTTCGTTTTTTGATTGCGATTAAACAGAATTTTTCTTTATAAATGTTATAACTAAAACGTCATTCATAAAATTGTCATGCCCTGCAGGGTATTAACCTGGTTGATGTGTCTACTATACCGCGTACTGTGCAAAGTATTTATTTTAGCTTCCATTCGAATCTGAGAAGGTATTAATTTTACCATGATGTGTTTATTTTTTTTGTATCTGTCACTACTTTTTCTCAACGATACGACAAACAATCACAAATCATATCTAGTTGAAGACATTTCCATCAAAAATTGAAAATTTTGCCCTCATTTCTCATAAATAGTGAAAATCTTCCAAAAATTTACCATTTTTAAAATCGGTAAATTTCGACATTTTTTTCTTTTTTTTTCTAAAATTTTCCATAACTTATTGAAATAATAAATCAAAATAATATTTTTTTAAATTTGAACTTTTACTTGCCCACAGAGAGGGATTCAAAATTGCAACTTCTGCACAAAAATTTAACTTTTTCAACTTAAGTTTTGAAAATATTCCTAGAATACTCCGATCTTCAAACATATGTTAAAATAAAGATAATGTTATGTACTATAAGTTCAAAAAAAAAATATTTGTCCTGACGACTTATCTTTTATGTGAAAATGGTTGCCGTAGATAAAAAATATGTAATTTTGGTGTTAAAATTTACGATTTCATATTTTATTTTTTTAACTTTAAATTACTATAACTATTTGAAAAATGTATGGATCAATACAATCATAAATATTTTTTGTTAACTTCGATGCGAAGCTGAGACGGCATTGGTTTTACTATGATGTGATTTTTTTTTTTGTTGTGTCTGTTACCACTTTTTCTCAGCTCTCACGGAACCGATTTCTTTCAATGATACATTAAAAGATCACAAATCGTATCTAGTCGAATATATTACTCTCAAATATTGAAAATTTTTCTCATTTCCCCGTAAATGGGGAAATCTCCAAAAAAATTACAAATATAAAAATCGCTAATTTTTGTCATTTTTTCAATTTTTTTTATTTAAAACTGCCATAACATTTTTAAAAATAACCAAATCAATATAATTTTTTTTATAGATGCATGATATCTTTATCTTTCATTTGATATATTTTTTTTATAAATTTGACCCTTTACTAGCCCACAGGGGGGCTATAAAATGACAACGTTTTCACAAAGAGTTAACTTTTGAAAGTTTTCCGGAAAGTCTGACACTTTTATATATATCTTAAATTAAAGCATATGTAATTTACTTTATTATGGAAAAAAAAATTTCGGACTTCATTTTGTCTTCAGGATGAAAATGGCTACCAAATGCTATTTTTGTGTGAAAATTCTGGATTTTATTTTTTACATTTTTAACTTTATAATGCTTGAACTTATTGAAAATTGTATGGATCAATACAATTTTTTTATAATAAATAATATTTATATCTCTCTTTCATTTGACATACTTATTATCTTAATCAGGATATAAATAAGGAAATAGCAGATCATGTAGTTTTTATAAAAATCTACCACTTTTTTAAAATTAAACACTATTTAAAGATTTGCATCGAAACGTTTTTTTATGATAGTTATTTTAATCACTGTCGGATATCATTATACTTGACCAAAGTAGCCACGTCACCTCTGTGCCGTGACCCCCCTGTGCTGGGTTTATATATATATATATACATATATAATATTTAATATTTTAACGATATTAATTTTTTTTTTTTTTTTACACGTTGTTTTAGGAAGATTGGCTTGCTGATTCGTTCAATGTATTTTTAGATTATTCATTACAGTTGATTCGAAAATATCGTAAACTATTTCCTCCGCATCATCATATATCAATGAACCGATTAGAATACATCTTAAGGTATATTAAAAAAAGTTGTTAACAAGAAGTTTGTATTTTTATTTGCTTAAATAATCCATTTATTTAATCTCCCCGCACTTTTATTGATATACCACTATCTATAATAGATGTCTCAGTCGATTGTCTTTATCGAAAGCTTATGGAAAGTGTTGTCCATTCAATAAAGATATACGCGGTGAAATTGGTAATGCTTTACGAATGGGTACACTTGAATGGTACGAAGAAAATAGGAAGTTTATGGCGACGGGGCATAATGATCCGGAAGGCCGTCTTAAAGGATTTGTAAGATTAGTCACATCTATATTAATTGACCTTCAAAAAGGCATAGAGCACTACAATGTACTATTTGAAAAGTATGCATTGAAAAACAGCTTAATTTTCAATAGTGTTAATACTTTATATATTTTAGCATTAACGGTGTATTTTACTATGCAGCCATTTATAAACAACATGAAAAACTGGTAAGTTCTAACACAAGAAATAAATGTTATAATCTTTATACAATTATTTGTTTAAAATTTGATATTGGTATAAATAAAATGCAGTCACCCGTAATGAATATTATTATGTATTTTCTCAGTTGGCAAAGGGATTTTCGAATCATTTGGACATAATTATTGAGGTACACAGTATGACCCGTATAAAATATGATCTTAGTACCCTTTGCAGTAGTGTCCATCGGGCTGCAAGTCTTTCCCGACCAATGATTTTTACTGTGTTGCTTAAGATCACACTTGTTACACTACTATTGTTTTTATTATGTTTCGTAATAAGTGCTAATAAAATAAATATCATGCTTAATTTGGTAACGTTTTAAATCGCTCTAAGCATTATCGAGGGATTCTCGATTGTTAATGAAATTAGTTGAAGCCAATATTATCTAATTTAATAACGCGCTAGACTTGTTTGTGTATTTTATATTGAGTGATTTAGTTGAGTATTTTTCATAATTTTACTTTACTAATTATTTTTTCTTATCTATAATGTTTTTAGTTATCCAACGATTTGAGTCAAGAAATAGCACCAATATGTAAAAAAGTAAAAGGAGCCGATTTTGGAATGGACTCACCACTATCTCCAACAAATTCTGAAACAGGAGAATCACTATTTGAACTATATTTGACAGTTCAAGAGTTCATTAGGTATAAATTTATATTTTGTAGATAGCAAAATATACTTACTTTACTATATGTAATTCATTCAGATACCGAGAACATCTCAATGCATCCGACTACAAAGGGCTCTCCGCTCAATGTTATTATCATTGGTTTGAACCAGCTTTAGAAAAATGGTTAGATTTGGCCAAAATAAAAATAATACAACGTGTAAAAAAATCACTTGAAATGAACACAATTTGCCAAGGAGATTTAAATGTTAAGCATTCAACGTCAAGTAACGATATTGTTCAAGCATTATATCATGTATGTATTGCTTTTGATACTTTATGTTTGTTCATTACAAATGTACTAATATGAAAAAAAAAAATTATAGATGAAGGAATTTTGGAAACATCTTGCGTGGCCCGATCTAATACAGTCCTACAATTTTGTTTTAAAATTACTAGACGTAATATATTTTTAAACTTCATAAATAAAATTAATTTCAACAGCAAAATTAACTTAATTATAATAATTATTTAAGGCAATGTGTGAAGCAGTTTTGTTTTATGCTCAACTAGTTCAGCAGAGGTTGAAAGACTCTGGATTTTATGAAGACATATCACCATATAAGACAACTGATGAAGTAATCAAAATTGTGTTAAAATTTACTATTTTTATTTTAAATATAATTCACGATAATTTAAACACAGTTTTACACTACTATTTCTATACAAGTATAATTATAAGTAACAAATATTGACACTAAAGCATTAAAAAGTTAAATGTTAAATTTTTTAACTTAACTAGTTGGTCTATTTTTATACTAACTGGTAGCTTAACGTGAATCCTTCGTCGAATAACCTTAACTTAATAAATAACATAAGCTTTATTTTTTAATAAGTGTTCAGTAATTATGATTGATAGGCTATTTAGTGTTGCGTTGAAATAAAATAAACTTTTCCCAAGAAATTTAAAATAAAATAAAATATATATGAATTGTACCCCACGGAGTCCAATACGATTTAAGATAAAATGTCTTAGATATCAATAGCATAGCTATTTGGTACATACGCATTTTTAGTAATATTATAAAAAAAAATTTTTTGTAGTTTTTACGGACAATAATAGGAAATTATTTTTTCTTAAAAAAAAAAATTATCAACTTTATAGAGACATCTAATATTTAGTTATATTGAGTTTACTATTAAAACTTAGTAATGTATAAATTATAAATTAACTTGATTTCTAATTAACTTGTCCAGCTTTGCTTACTTTAGAATAATTTTAATTTTGTAGATCTGTGCAGTATTGAATGATTTCGAATACGTTTGGCGGACTATTGCATCTATGCCGGACGATCTTCACTTAGAAACTGTTGTTACTGCAGTCGAAGCTACAGGTGAAGCTACTGCAGATCAGTGTCGAGCTGACGTGACAACATTACTAGACCCTGTATTTAATCAATATGATAGCTATTCCATGATGATTGTTGGACGTATTGCAATTAGAGTGAGTTTTTTCACTTTTACATAAAATAAATAGTTTTATATATTATACATATATAAATTTTATTTTAGATGCAAGCTCCTTTAAAAAAATGTATATTTCATCTGGCTTGGTCACCAGATACTTTACCAACATCCGACGCAATATGTCCTCTTCAAGAGTATCTAGATGGACATTTGATAACGCTAAACACTAATTTGTTACCAAAAAATTTCCACAAAGTTTTGAATGGGGTGTTTGAAGTAACTGTCTATGAACTAGGCCATCAGATGGATGGTGGGAGTGGTGATACGAAAATGTCAGGATTCTACGAACGACTCTATGAAGCCTTGGAACTCTTAGTAGACTTTTTTCATGCTGGGGGAAATGGCTTACCACCTGAAATTTTATCTGGAAGTGAGTAATAGCAATTAAAATTCTTTATTTAATATTGTCATTATAAAGTCGTATAATATATTTATATAAAATGGGGTAAATTTTACTCACTAAATTAGACAAAAATATTTATATTAGATGTTTATCGAGCTGTCAAACAAAGATTGAAATTACATAAAACAGACACCGATACATTAATTGAACTGTACTATGAAGACCGGCTTGCTGAACAGCAGAGAGTAAACGATATTTTTTATGGCATCCTATCAGTCCGAGCGTATTATCACCATGACTCTTTATGTGTGGAGGTATTAAAAGCTCACGATGTTATACCATTAGATCCTAACGGTTAGTATAATATAATAACAAAACAATTTCTTAAGCATTAATTCAAATTCTGAAAAATATTTTCAGGTTATAGTGATCCATTTGTTATTGTAGAATTACTTCCTAAATCAATGTTTCCATATAATGCTGAACAGTATACCGAAGTAAAAAAGAAAACATTAAATCCTTTATTTGATGAGTGTTTTGAATTGTCAGTAAAATTTTATTTAATAAAACACATACATTGTATTTATACTATATTATATTATAACATTTAAAAAAAATTATTTTTTATCCATTAGCGCTGTGTCATTGGACCAATGTCGACATGAATCTTCAATGATCTTGTTTACAGTAATGGACCATGACGTAATTACGGCCAATGATTTTGCCGGTGAAGCATTTTTATCGCTTAATTCTATACCTGGTGTTAGGGCTCCACTACCACATGACATCAACATAATCGATAAAGTTGATCTAATATTAATGCATCAACATAATAAAGGTAAATACATAATTTGTTTATATAATTTCAAAAAAATTACATTAATAAATTATAATTTTTTTAAATAAAATAAAAATACACAATATTATTATAATTATTAGACAATTTTTTTTTTATAATTAAGGTCATCCAATACTACTTACGCTTGAAGCTAGACATGAAGACAAAGTTGCCCAAGAATTTGTAAAAAAACAAAAAGTCCGTATGGTTAGTTCCTGAAATAAACAATTTTATTCTGTTGCAAGCTTTACAGGGTGTTGCGTTTTGGATCACAGTGATATCACATGAACCATAAATTACAACATAACTAATTAGTACAATAAATAAATGTAAATTTATAAAATAAATCTTGTATATAACATAATGAGATAATAAATCTAAAAACCAATAATACTTCTTTATTAAGATAATAAATGGAACAACAAACTAAGTGATATTAAACCAATGTAATGTAACGTACGTAAGCGAATTATTTTCAATCTTGTTCACTAAAATAATTCTATTAATATTGAATATAATACTGTATATATCACAATGATTTAAAAACATATTTAATAACCATGTGAAAAAAAATCATATTTCATTAGTGATCAATCTACTCTACTGTCAAACGGCATTATTATTGAATTTAATTATCCAATGAATATAATTATAAATAGTATAATTGACACAATTTTATTTAATTGAATGAACACAAACAAAGATTTCATAAATATTGTGAAATTATGTTCAACTTGTTAAAATCTTATAAAATTACTAGATATAACGACAATCTGAAAATTTTATACTCCAATTAAGCGTCTATTAATATTAATTAAATATAACTAATTTTCTACTGTAACTCTATTAGAGATAAAGAATTTTTCGGTTAAATATTATAATTAAAATAACCACTACCAATTTTACTAATACAGTAAATAAACTAAGTATATTTTAGACACTGTAATTATCAATAATGAATTTTTAATTATATTTTTATGTTGAGGCATTGAATATCTTTATAAAAAATATATAGCTTTAATAATCTAAAATTATATTGACCAAAATCTTTATATAACTACAAAGTATATGATGTTTATAATAAATATATTGTTAACACTTGTAATTCTTGTCTATAATTATTGGTTAGCATTTATGATTTACCTAGTGATTACCCTAATAGCAAAAGAAATATGCCATGTGTCATAGATGATTTTTATTATAAATATATAATGACTTATTTGAATAAAGTTAATTGCAAAAAGTTAACGAGTTATCAGTTAAAGTTATTTCAATATTTTTTTAAAAAAATTAAGCTAACATATAGTTGAAAAATTTTAGCATATTATTGAGTTTTAGTAGGTTAGACAACATATCATACATTTAAGGTGATGAAATGTTTTTGATTGTCAAAGATTAAAAATATTTATAGTGAATTTTATATTATTTTATTTTTTAAAAATTTATATTTATATAATTCATGTAAAATATTCGGGATGACGTCATATCGCTATGCTCAGCAAATAAGGCAGTAACTTCAACAAATTCATTTTGAGATTATGAGTTATTTGAATTTAGATTTTATTCTTCCTATAATAACTTTCATCACAATATCGAAAATTTTGATTAAATTGGTATTAAACTACTAAGAAAATTCATAAACATAGCGTGTAGTTAGAGAATTATTTCTATTTTCGACATCCTGAAAAATTAGAAAAAGTGAGTTATTATTCGCTGCGCATATCGATATGTTCTCTGTTTCTATTGAAAAATCATGTATCTTGACAGTCAGGTATTTTTTTAACAGATATTTGGGTTATAATAATCACTTAAACACATAAGATTTCGATAAAAATTAAATATTTTCTTATTCATTTTTAGTTAAGCCACAAATTATAGATCAAATAACGTGTAAAAATACCTATGTTTTGTGGTTTTATATTACAGTGAAAAAATGGTACTCAATACATAGCTTTTCAGAAAGATGGATTGTGTATGTTAAAGAATATATGAACTTTATGTTAAAAAAGCCGATTTTCATTTTCATTTCCAACTTTAATATAATAACTTTTCATAAGTAATTATATTATGATAATAATAATAAGATAACAAATAAAATATTTTTTTTTTAATTATACAAAAAAAAAAAAATGAAAATCATTAGTATTAATTTTGTTTTTTAATGTCATGTTACTACTAATCTAATGTTGAACAATTGCAATAGATTTATTACATTTCATAATTTGCTGAAGTTAAGTTAGCTGTTTATTATTAAATTTATTCATTTTTAATCAAAAAACATTCAATAGATTTAATTTGTATTAATATAATATTTCTTAATAATGGATTACAAGTTTTTAATTTTATGCTTGACGTCTAGCTACTTTACATTTGCTAAGTTTCAAGTATGTGAAATACTTTTTCTACTTAATTTTTACTTAACTAATTTATTTATTAAAAAAAATACTTAATCAGTTACTGAAATTTCTAAATCCTGTAAAGCACGAAAAGCGTATAGTAAACTATGAGTATTTATGTAATAAATCATTCTTCAACTGGTGCAACTATGAAGTAAAAACCCTTAATGCCATACAACTTATTGATGTTAATGCTAGTGTTCGCTTACCTATGTCTCCTAACACTGTAAGATTAAAAATAAGATTAAAATAATCTCTTAGTTTATATTAATTGGTAAAAATATAACTAACAATTCTAATAATTTATTTACTAATATTTTTACTCGAGGTGGAAATAGAATTAATCAAATGTAAAGAATATTTTTATGATTGTGCCAATCTTCGATCATTTGAATTAAAAAATTTTTGTACACACTTGGATGAAGTTTTATTTTTTTTGTCAATTGGCTATAAGGATAGAGAAATTATATGTCCATTTGAAGTAAGATTTTGTAATAACAACCAAATATATTTTTAAATGTGTAATTTGGTTATCGTCTTTTCAATATTTTTGTAATTTCCAAATTAACACATTTATTAAAATAAAAATTTCAATGTTTTTTAAATTTCTGAGTCATAAAAATTATTTTTTAGAAGATATGAACATCAATTATATACTGAATCAAATTGAACTAGGTCGATTTTTATAAAATACATAATAAATTAAATATTAGGTTTGTGTTCTCTATAATTTTTAAATTTAGTCAAGTTTAAAATTTTAATTATTACATTTTAGAGAACAATTATTAACTTCTTAATACTTCTTAATTATTTGTGATAATTATAAGTAATGTATATTAATCAAAAATTTTTGCATAATTTGTATAAAATATTTTTTTAAATTGTAATGTTTTTTATTCCATGGCAACAAATTTTTTTTTAATGTTTAAAATATGTATGATTAGTGAAAAATATGCTTATTGTTTAATGTTATTATTAACCACAAAAAATATTTTAAAATATTAGGAAATATGAAAAAAAAGTAATTCTTCTTTTTTAATAATACTATATTTACAGGGACAATATGTTTATAAAAATATTTCGATTTCTACCAAAGCATATCAAATGTTCTTTGCTGTTGGAGAAAAGTTTTGGGATCACTCATATATATTGATTGTTAATGTTTACGATGAAAATAAATCAAAGATGACATATATAAAAGAACAAATAAATTTTTTAACCTTTCGAAGCAGGAAAAATCAATGAATTTATGTTTTCATATGCTTAAATTAATAAAGATAATCAATTTAATAACAGACAATTAAAATGTATTTAGTTTCGATGTTTAAATTCAACCTATGTTTTATATATAGTATTTTTGTTAAAATATTAAATAAAAACATACTTTATGCAAGATTTTTTGAATTAAACATTTTTTAAACAAAGAAAAATCTATAATATAATGTTTAATTAAGGCAAAAGCCACCCTAACTTATAAAATAAAATTAATAAAATAATGCCCTAATTATAAGCGTCTGCAAAAGGGGCGAAGCAAAACAGCTGCCCTTCTTAATGTTTTGCTTGGTTAATTTTCATAATCAATAATGTAAAACTTTATAATTAAAAGTTATTTTTTAATTAAAAGAAAAAAAAATTTTTTATACAAATTATGTTGTTGATTCCAGAATAAAGAGCATTGTTCTTATAGATCCATGTCACATAGGATTATTTTTTGTTAATTAAATATTTATATATATTTGATTTTATAAATAATACATACAACTACTAAAAATTTTTATTTCAATTATTTTTTCTGCTAGGCCCATAGTCGCCTATTAGGACAACATTTTTTAGGAAGCTATAATATAGCTTTAGTGAAAATATATATTATGTATTTTTTCCCTACCCTAAAAACACTATATAGTATGAAAACGTACTTTAATTTAATTTATTATTATTTTTTTTTTATTTTTCTGAGAAGCTAATTTCTTAACTGAGAGGCTAAGCTCCTTCTTGTTTTCTTAGTTTCGCTTATAACAAGGCTTCCAAAAGAGTGATAATTCTTGGGTGATCTTGGTTCCCACAGAGTTAATCCTGTTGAGTGGACAGTGAAATAAAATATTTAAAAAATATATTTTTTCCCTCCCATGAAAAATGTTTGCAGACGCCCTTGTTTCCAATATAGATGAGTGATTTTTCCATAATTTATTCGATAACTTCACAGACTTCCATTAATTTGTATTAAGTAAATTGATTGTATGTTGATGCATTTTAAATATTTAAATATAATTAGTAAATAAAATAGTTCTTTTAACATTAATACATTTGGTACTTTTTTTTATCTGTCTTGTCTTAATATAATGGGTAGATATTTTGAAGGATTTTTTTTATAAAACAACATAAAGGATTGCTTAAAAAATGACATTTAAAAAATAAAAAAAAAATTATTATTATTAAAAGAGTTAATAGAAATTATAACTTTTTTTAGATATTCAAGTTTTTATGGATGATAAATTAAATTGAACACTTTTAGATAAATTAAACAATAATAAAGATGTGTGAATAAATATAGTGAAAAGAATTACAAAAAAATAATTACATTAAATAAATGACTATAAAATAATAACTTTTATGACTTAGTATTTAAATCACGTGAGAACTCTTTCGAACATTTTATGTCATATATTTAATATTATAATAAAATAAGCAATAGAATCATTTAATTCACGATTCAAAGATTTTTTTTTTAAATAGTAATGAGACTTCATTATGAATGATGTAGTTATGTAATAATGTATTATGTAATGAGACAATCATAGGCAAAACTAGGGGACTTAGTGTCTTCAATCAAAGAATTTTTCTCTCAATCAAAATTTAGAAAATTACACGTATTTCTACGCATTCCCAAATTTTTATTTCTTTCGGATCTATGAGTGTAATAAAAAGANATTCCCAAATTTTTATTTCTTTCGGATCTATGAGTGTAATAAAAAGACAATACAAATATTACTCAACATTTAAATGTAAAATGTTTAAATCTTATTAAATTTGTTTCAAGTTGTTCGGAGAATGTAATATAAACAACATTGAATCATGAGTCAAGCGTCTATGTACTGTTCATAGTAAAAAAATATTTACAAACGAAAATTCACTTAATAAAATAGATTTGTAAAACGGTTAATTTAACGTTGCTCGACCAGAATAGGATAAAGGGTATTTAGATTGACCCATTCTGCTGGAATTCACAAAAGGATCTTGGTGTGACATGTATTTAGATCCAATTGCAGCTTGAAGTCTAGATGTTAGATAGCATAGCGTCATTGCAGCAATAAATAATAAACATCCGAGTACTCCAGATATAGCCAAAAATGTTCCACAACCACCATCAACCGCTGTTGCAGCACCATGGTAGATATCTTCTGGCATGATAACAGTATATTCGATGTTCTCTTTAAACTTAGCAAAGTTCGTTGTGCTGTTTGCAGATGCGTCAGCTGCATGTGAACTGTTCGAACTGATTGTTGTGGTCATTGATGTATGTCTTCTTCGTCTGCGTCCGTGTCCTGAAGGCTCATAAAGATCCAAACAATATTCCTAAAAAAATATGTTAAATTTACTTCTACAATTGTAGTTATGAATCTTTATATGTCTTGTTTAATTATTTTGATTTAAAATCTTAATAATTTACCTTATCATAAATAAAATTATATTTAACAAAGACTTGAAAGTTTAAAACATTAATGTTATAAAATCAATCACTCAAAATTAAACTGTAGCAAAAAAAATGCATTTTTTAACTGACACAGATCTTACTTATTTTAATAAGCAAAATCCCTTACTTAAAATTACGCTTACGATTTCAAGTATTGCAAATCATTTTCAATGATTCATAGTAATATTATCACTACAAAATAACCTACTAATTCATAACAAGTATTATTATAAGAGGTAATAATTACCAATTAGGTGCTAAATAATTTTAAATTGACTCTTTTTTTATTTAAACAATGTACCATACTTCAAAGGAAGATTTTCATACAAGTAATCGATCAAAAGAGTAAGAAATAAAAACTAAAAAGACTTTACTATAGAAAATTATATTTAATTGTATTTGTGGTGCTAGGAAGTCACGGTTACGCTAAAGATACATTTTATCACAATGACATCGCCCTAAATACCAATAAAGTCTATTGACAGTATTAATTTCAGCGATTTCAACGGTGCAATATAGTCAAGTAAATGTACCGGACAATTGAACACGGTATTTATGGCCCGATTTGTGGTCTAGTAATGTACTATCATAGAATAAGCATTATACCATCCGGATTTTTCGCTCGAATGTTTTTAGCAACCCAAAAAATAGATATACTATAAATAATAAGCGAGGCTAGTTTTAGAATAACTTTTCTAGAGATATAAGTATAATATAAGGTAATATGATATAAATAATCTGTGATACAATCCGTCGCTTAAAATTATAGCATTTAAGTTTTTAATAATCATAAAAATCACTTTTTCATCTGTTACTTAAATAATTTTATCTTTGTTTTATATTAACTTTTCAATTAATATCGAATGAACAAAGTTTACAGGAAATAATATTTTTTACTCCGACTACGGTTTATTGATTAATTTACAATATAAAGTGATATTAAAGTTAATTTTAATTTTCAAGTTGTTATTATATTATTCCATCTAGTGTAAGATTTGCTAATTTATGTCAAAGCACTTACAGGTTGACAGTCAGCAGCGTCCATACATGCTTTTATTTGAGAATGTATCCAAAGAGTAGAACGCTCTTTCATGGTACTCAAAAGAAATGCTTCAAAATCTAAAAATACCTCATTATGTCTTTCTCGGTACTTAGCTGGTTGATGTGGTATGATGGTTGCAAAATCGCGATTCCGGCACCTTAAAAATAAAAATATTGTTTTCAAATTTTTAAAATAAGTATAAGAACACAAGTTTTGAAAAAAAAAATTTTTAATTAGTCAGGAGGGTGCATTTGTTTTAAAATATTTTATTAGAAAAAGTTAAATTATAATAGAGGAATATATCGATTTAATAACACGTAAATTTGTTTATAATATAAGGCGCACGCTTACCCATCTTTTACCAAAGCAACGCTTCCAGACACATGAGCATTATCTGGATCTGGTGAGACAGACACTTCCATTAACTTAACGAACTTCCAAGCTGGGAAAAAAAATTAATAATGATTACTTAAAATACGACCACAAAGTAGTAAGTAGTCTCATCAGTAGTCTCTTTTGCTATTACTTGTGGACTTTAATTTGCTCATTGAGGTTCGCATTTATTTTTTCCAAAAATAGTCAATTTATTAAAATTAAAACCATTTAAGCCTAATAAGCACCATTTGATGTTTTTTACATGGCTAACTTAATAATTATTATCAAAAAACTTAATTATTAATATATTAAAAAATACAATTATAGAAATAAGTAACGCTTGTTGAATAAGAGCAATTGTAATTGTTTAACATAACGTTCTATATTTTTAGTTAAACGATTGATCACTAATAATACTTGTTCGTGTTAATTAATCATCGACATAACTTGATTTCTAACACCTTTAGCCGGCAAACAATTTTTTTTTAAATTAACTATTAAGATTTGTAAAATTTTAATCTAAGTTTAATTTTAAAGTAATATATTTTAAAAATGCAAAACTATTATATTTGAATGAATATATTCAAATTACAAGTAATTAGAGATAACCGCTACAGTTTAATCGAATTAAGAAGAATTATTTTGTTTTATTCAAACCTCTTTAGAACAATGGCAAATTTCAATAAACTGCTTTTGGTTATTAATGTTTATATGAATGAGTTTATGATATATTTTTTTACAATATATGGATATAGCAGAATATATAAATATCTCTTAATCATTTTACCAGAATGTGGATTGATCCGGGCCCTTAATTGTAGCTTTGTTCCAATTGGTACTGCTTGGTCGACTGGTAATTCACTATTGTGACTCAAATTTGTTAATCGAGCAGGAGCTTCTTTGTATAATGCCACTTCATACTCTAAACGGCCTGGTGTCTCTTCAACAACTCCTGATACTCTTGCACCATGTGGACTAAAAAAAGTTCAAAAATATGATATTGTTCTATTGATATTTAATGCACCAAACTCTATCTTGGAGTATTGACAAACCGTATAAATCGCGTTAAAACGTATACACTTAAGCTGTATACATCATAAGTGTTTATTCGGAAATAATTTTTTTCATTGTTAGTGTGTCATCATGATCGTCATATTCGTCGTGTACGACAAAGCACATAAATATAACAATTAGGTCAGTAGGCAACCGAGACGGAACGACCAGGCGAAAATGTCCACAGCACTATTACTCGTATTTATGTACCTATGAGTTGTGTTTGCTAACTGAAGGAAAGACCGTGAAAATGTGAATTAAGGTTTTTTTAATGCGATCAAGTTTGTCTAGGCCATATTGTTTATTTAAATATTTCCTTTTAACTATCGCATTTATTATATAGAGCGATATTTTTTTAACAGTACTGATGGTCTAAACGTAAAAAAATTAATACACAATTTCCCATAAAAATTTTTTTTTTCATAACACAAACGTTCTAAATGTGTTTTTATTAATAAATTGATTAAGCTCCAGACAATAATGACATTTATAACTCAAGAAATATGCGTATCACCTTGAAGACAATATACGACATGCCACCACTTCGGAAATAACAAGTTTTTAACAACTACTTAACAAATATTTTTATCGACGTGACGAGGTGCTTTTAAAAACCATTTATAAGCATTATTAAGAATTTAACAGATAAAGAAGACATAACTATTCATCAAATATAAATATGATAAATTGTACAATGAAGCTTTATTTTTATTTGGTTTAACTCACTTAATACTCTAGTTATAATTAGATTTCTATATGATAAGACATTTTATGAATAGCTACTTCTTAAGGCAATTTAAGAAATTTGATATTATAGCAAGGTAAAAAAAGCTCATAATTAATTTTTTATAACGATATTTGATTTTTTAATTTACTAGTTAGAGAAATAAGCTTATATCTCTTAATTACAAAATCAAACATTTGGTGCCGGTGGAAAATAGAAAATATTTTTCAGGTTACCTAACTTATGCTATTTAAGAAAAATAGTTCTACCACTATAAATGACATGGTTATTTATGGATAATAACTCATATTGAAATTTTTTATTCATTTTACTATAACCAATAGATTATTAATATTTCAATACAATTTACCTTTTACTCATAGTAGAAAGTACTTTTATAAACGATTTAATAAATCAACATTAAAAAAATAAATAAATTTAAAAAAATTGTGATTTTGATCTTAAAAAATTCCACATCGTTTGTAAAATAATTGATAGTTTAATTATAATATCAACACTTCATTTATTAATAATTATTAATAAATGAAGTGTTGATATCGGAAAAGTATTAAGTTACAAAAAACTAAATTTTACAGGAGTATAGAATAATAGTTTATCTAAATCTGTGGACTTAAGATAACCGTCTTTTGTTTTCACGATAACTCTTATTCTATGCATAAATTATTTTTTTTCAGATTGTTAGGAATGTATTAACTATGATTTCTTAAAAAAAAAAAAATCGATTTGTTGAACTTTCCTTGTTAATTATTTTGAATATGAATTTTATATGTGGAAACTTAGTATTTTAATTTAAGATGATAATCAAAAAACTTTGCAAAGAAAAAAATATAATAAATAAAATGTTTTTACAAAAAACATGGTATGTTAACAAAAAAAAAATTGTTAACATACCTAATATTGATTTATTTAAATCATTTTTGCCATATTTCAAATATATTTTAAGACTTGATCAAAATCAAAAGATATATTTTTGAACATAATGCGATAATAATGCGATTGTGATTAATGTTATGCACACAGTAGAGAACCTCAAACAAAACTATACCAAAATCAAACACGTCTTAATATTCTTTCAGTCTGTATTTGAGTGATCTTAACTTTTTACGGGTAATTTAGGCTATTGTTGCTACCGCCTTATCTAGTTTACTCTTACGAGCCATACCCGGTAAATTCTTTAATAATGTAACAGTAATACCACCTCATCAAACGCTTACGGTTCGTCAGCCATACACACACACAATCGCAATGGTCACGGTAACAACACTCTGTACACACATACACCCAACGATAATATTGAAATACACATTATTCAATAAATATAACAGCCGAGTTTCGTGTATGTAACCAATGATATCGGTCAACACCTTATATGCCGACAAACCCATCTACTCAAACCGTTACGCTACTGTTCCGACGCTTTTTTGATTCATATACACATTAACATCGTTATTGTTATTATTTTCTAACCTAATAAATACCATAATATAGTAGTAGTGTACATTACTAAGTTCTTCTTTGAGTATTCGCTTGCAATATTTAGGAAAAAATGTTGCGCACTATACAATAGTTCATATACCATAACTAGACAAGTGTATAGCGTTACCCGTAAAAACACTTCTAATCATACATCACTCAAAAATAACAAACGGTACTTATTGGTTCTATTGTAATTATTATAAAAAATATTTTGAAAAATGTATCCAATTACTCTTAAAGACACAACTCTATGAAGTATTAAGTAATGAAAATTCGATAGCATTAATTGTTTAAAGTCGTCCACCAATTAACTTTTGTTGCACGCCCGTTTAAATGCATTAGGTCTTTAAGGGTTAAGCACTAAACATTTTCAAAGAAAATAAATAAGTGATAAGTTGATTTTACGACTGTTGAAATGATCATTATAAATTAATTACTTGATCGAAATCAATAGACTGACATTCCTTTTATGTTATATACTATTAGTCAAACAAATCGACGGAGTAATACCGTAAAAAACAAATGTACTATAACGAACTACATTAAAAAATCAGCAAAGACCTAATGATTCTATTGGCATTTTCTCAGTGGAAGTTATTATAATTGGTGATTGCTAGAAAGTTATTAAAAATTAACACTACATATAGCCATTGTAAATCCGACTTTGCAACTGGGACACGACCCGGTCTAGTTGTACACGGTATTTAATTCATAGTCATCATCGATTAATATTACAAATTGTAATAACAATGCATAAGGGTATAGACTTACAAACTTCCGGCGAAACCGGCGGCCTTGTTTTCGATCACAGTCGGTTCTGGTGGTTTGCACATAATGATTAATTCTTGATCGGACATCATGACCACGCCGGGAAACTGTGGGAACCACACCCGGACGTGAACGAAACCCTGTAGTTAAAACAAAACGAAAAATTAACGACATGGCACATAAAATGTTTAATTGAAAAACCAAACGGTTTAAACCTACGTTTCTCTTGAGGACACCGCACCTTGTGAAGTCTGTGACCAATAGGTTATAAGTCAACAGGGATACATCTGATAAGTCCGGTCGGATCTGACAAAATGGGTCGATCAAGGGATCTACAGTTCGGTCGTCTGCGAACAATGGATGACCTTTAAAACCCTCTGGTTTTTTCAGTCTAGCAGATATTACGTCTTTAACGCTCAGTAACGCTTTGCCCGCCCGCAGAGAATCCGATGAAAACGAACACTGTATTTCAGAAACTGAAAAACAAAAAAAAATACAGTGTTTTATTCGAGTAATTTATATTTTTAAACCACGTATATTAAAACACAATTCATGGATTATTTTTATTAATTAAAAAACGCTCATAGCTAAATAAGCATTTTATATGATTATTGTGCATACAATTAAATAGTGTTTTCGAAGATAAAATAACATATAATTATGTTCTATCTTTTTGTTTATGATTAAAAAATTGTATATAATGTATGAAAAAAAATAATCACTCTATAAATATATCACATTCATATACCTACTAGTACTTGCACAAAAATAAACTCTTCAAGTTAATAAGATTTTGTAAACTTAACTGTTAACTTATTTTTAAAAAAAGTTGGATAAGCTTTAACTATTATCTCGATTGCTTTTTTTAATTAAATTAATTTTAACGAGGTAAAGAAAATCATTAGTCTTGGTTATTAGTAATAAATTATTTCTATACATTTTGATGTGTCTTTCAAAATAATTAAAAATAATAATATGAAATATTATTTATTTATAATATAATATTTTTATAATTTTACTTACCGTCGTAGTCTTGTGATGATACCTCTTGAGCCTGAAACAAAAATTTAAAACAATTATAAAACACGCTCAAGATTTTAAAGGAAATGTAACATGAAACTCTAATTTAGATATATAAATTAGCACATCTTGAAAATAAAAATTATTAACTGATTAGATATAGAGATGTGATGATCCACTTTTACTTGTACATCGATTTAATACATATAGTGTATATGACCGTCATATTGTTGTTTCCATGCATCATACCTGATTAACTAAATCGTTATTTTCTCTAGTACAATTGAATTCTATCAATGACCCTATCAATACACACTCTACAAAGTAATTAACGAAAAAATACGCAACCAATTTAACGTGTTGGCAATATGGGACTTTGGTGTTATATTTTAACGTGAAATTATTTTATCGAACACAAATTAAATGGGTATAAATATTCTAAAACAATAAACTATAAATCTTTGATTAATAACAACAATGAATAATTTTCGATTATATTTCTATTTAACCAATTTGGAAAACGCACAAAATAATATTTAATAAGCTTCACTAAATTTAAATCATTTTTACTTTACTGACTATGGCCGATGGCTCTTACAATTACTGTTATCTTATAATAATACCCAAAATAAAAATTATTTTTAAATTATACAAAATATTTATTATTTATTTAGATTTAATGTCATTTCTAAAAACAATTGCTTATGCCTAAGAGGATAGGAAAGCCTACATAGTTTAGTTCCACGGATTCGAACCCCATATAATCAAACCAAAGAACAATGCATTAACGATTAGGTAAGATACCTAAAAGTATAATATTTTTAATGCTGTTTCAATAGACGTTTGTAGCACTCGACTAAAATCCATGTTTTTACTGAAAATGAAACAAAAAGACAGTGAAATAATTATGAATATTGTAATTCCACACGGAAATAATTGACTTCCGTCGACACCGTTGTGCTGTGACCGTTGAAACACTAACAAAATCGTGCTCTGGTGGATGAATTTCTCTCCTTTATTTAGTAATAGACTCAAGGACGATTCACGTTAACGATCTACAACTCTAAGCTTACCTACATACCGATATTTTTTTTAATAAGATTTCAGATATCTTTTTGAGAAACACATGACCGAATTGTAAACGAATCACAAACATTTTAAGACTTTATAATTATCTAAATATTTTTGAATGAAACTCTACGATATCTTAATGTTGCATCTGGTATGCATGGCACAACGGATTTTTGTTGGCCCACTCAGGTGAGTCTCACGACCTTTACCAAATTTGTAAGTTCAACTCTCATTACACAGTAAAGCATCAACAGATAAAAAACCAATGCATACCGCTATCAGTAGACTGTAGTTTGGTTAACACATGATTTTTCCTGTGGTATCTAATACAAGCAACACATTATAATATATCACCCAGTCTATTTTCTAATTCAGGCGTATAAAAAACATTCCGCATTCGTTAGCATAACGCTGAATCATCCCTGACATACCCAGATCATGTTAAGCTATAACACTGAATTGTTACACAGCTATAGGAAAGAACAATAAAACAACACCCAAAAAAATATTTTTAATCCGGCCAAACAATTACTCTTTTTCGCTAGGCCCTTTTTTTTTAAATGAAATAGAACAATTTCATTAGCAAATATTTAACAGTGCATTGGCGACGGTGGTCTAGTAATGTGGCTGAACGATGTCAAATGACATATTCTTTGGTCTACTGAACGACCGTGAAAGAACAGAGATGTAATGGTAATGCAATCATTTAGGACACGAAGAAAACGTTTCGAGTACTTTTGTCGTAGACGCTACATGTCATTTTAATAGCTATCTTGTCGTCTAACTCGATACAAAGTGATATTTCATAAATAACCGATTTAACCGATCAAATAGGTATTCGGTATTTACATCTAACGTATAAGGATTAGATTCAAATAAAAATAATGATTTGTAACAATAAAATAAAGAGTATTTGTAATAAATATTTTTAACACAAAATGGTTGAAACAGTTTCACTTGTCCATCATGTTATTCGGTCATGTCTCAAAATAGTCAACAACTGCTGTGTAAATGACTAGTTTTATTCATTGATGATTTTTTACACCGTTTTACGAATTCGTATGCGTCATTGATTCATCTTACTGTTATAACACCAAAAGACACGTACGAGAATACTAACTAAACAATCAACATTATATTAATAATATTATATCGGTACAGTTTGAAATATAATAGAAATAATGATACACAGTAAATAGATATAATTTCGATTTTTTGATCTATACGTGTTTTCATTGATTTTAATTAATCAACTGAAAATCAAAAGTTTATACTGACTGCATACGTCAACAATCACATCCAGGTATTTTTGTATATTTTTCATGGATAACGCCGTCAGTAAAAAGTTTATTTTTATCACATTTATTAGTGGGATATTCAAATTGGGGTTTTCATTTTATTTCATGACATTTATTACTAGCAATAATAATTTACAGTATCAATGTGTTGTTAAAAACCACAAAAAATATATTATTTCATCATGTCTAGTACTTTAATCTATTGATATTAAATTTAAAATATACAAATATCTTATCTAGAATTCTACTTAGATAAAATTGTCAATTTTTTAGAATCAAAATGGACGAAATACAGAGTAATTAATGATAAAACGATTAATTTCTCAAAATCTTTAAAGTTAATTTTGATGTGAAGGAAAAAATTGTTTGATTTTAAAATTCTACAACAATATGTAGTTCAATAATTTATTTTTTTCATTCTTTCAGGGATGAAATACATAAACTTTAATTTTCTTCGGTAAAAACCTCTATTTTTAATTTGATGTTATAAAAGAAAAAACATTTTCTCATGATTTTATTTTGTCCGATCATACATTCATTTTTTTAAATTGTTTAAAGATTTGGAATAAAAATAAAAATTCAAAACATTGAAAATATGCATATTTTTTTTAAAGATTCGTATTTATTTCAACAATTGCTCAACAAGTATTAATCATAAAACACATGGATCCAAAACATTCAATAAAGTATAAGGTATAATTGAAAAAAAAATTAATTTGGCTTATGCTTCTGTTTTCTCAGATCAAAGATACTAATAGTTAATAAATTAGGATTTCTACATATTATAAAACATTAAATGGATTGATAGATTTTTTTGAAAGCCTTTCATTTATTTTAATAATAAATGAATAATGATCAACAGTTTTTTAAAACTATAAATACCTAAACATTGTATATGTCAATAATTTAACATATTTATATAATCAAAAAAATCAATTGGCTAGTAATTTGACAATCAACTTTTAAAGCTCTCTTTATAATTAAATTATAAATATATCAAGAATCATAAAATATTTTTTATATAGAGTATAAAAATATATTTAAGTATGATGTATGGAAATTTTGTTTCAAAATAACTACGAATATTAAGTATATTTTTCGCTTTGTAACTAAGTGTGTCATAACTGTAGGTATAGCTCTTTGAGTAATACAACAAATATGAAGTCTTTTACACCGTTAAAATAATCATAAGAAGTAATGTTTATATTTTTATCTATTTTGTTATAATATCTCTACTAGAACTAAATTATATACAAGGCTTTTTAAATTTGGAAAATAATAAGATACATACATTTAAATGAATTCATTTTATTTTTCATAAATATAATTAATTATATCCACCTGACTAAACAGGACTTTCCAAAAATAATTTTAGTTAAATCTTAAAAAAGTTCATTTAATTTTGACATTCGAGAATAAAATATTGCAAAACTTAGTGTTAAGATACACTAATTAAATATTTAACATAATTATATATTTTTAATAGCGACAAATTGCATATATAAAAAATTACACAATTATAGAAAATAATAAAAATTACTAAACATTTAATTAATAAATCATAATTATATATTTAATTAATAACTTATTAATTTTCCTGAGGGAATCTATTTCATTTTTTTTTTTTTTATAAAGATTAATCCAACATTGTAGATGTAATATATTAAAAATGTATAATTATGTTAAATATNTTTACTTAGGTGTTAAGTTAAATTGAAGTGGTAAATGAATAAAACTACAAATATATGAAAATAATTCTAAAGATATTATTTTAAAAGTATAAAAATTAAATTATTTTATATTCATTTATGGAATATTTTCAGAAATTTTTGATTAAAATTCTCAAATAGATGATTAAAAAAATAAAATAATTTTTTTACAATAATAATTGTTTGCATAATACATGATACATAATGATCACTACAGTAATAAGAAGACCACTTAGACTATAAAAATATTCATTATTGCTATTAAAGCACTAAAAATTGAAAAAAAAGTTTGGAAAAACGGTAAAAAACGTACATATTTTCCGCAGCAACGGAGATGATCGTACCGCAACGAGTGATTTTAACGAACCGTAAAGATGTTTACTAGTGGCACAAATACAAGTTATATTGAATAAGTACATAACGCGTGTGCATTGCTGTATTGCTCTGTATGATATTATGGAAAAAATTTTTCCAGCATTGCACATATTGTGTAAATTTATGCATGTGTTGTTAACATACTGTAGCACTCAGAAATTCGGTTGGGTCAGTGTATAATGTATAGGATATGATTCGCAAAACAAATATAACCGTTGAATTATCAACGCATTTAACCTAGTTTTTCGACCAGAACTTAAATGTTCTCTATCAATGAATCTTCAGCAGTAAGAATTGTATAAAGCACAAGTAATTTAAATGAAACGTATTTATTACATTATTACTATGCAACCCATTTGTTTATAGTTTTAATATAATTACTTACGTTATAATTAATTACGTTTGGTATAATGAATATGAAAATGGAGTAATTTAAAAGAAATATCATTTAGTGGCAAAATAACCTATTAGTTTAAGTTTTATGTATTTTTGCTTAGCTAATTAACATATTTTTTAGCATTATACTTGTTTATATTACTTAAACGTTTCTCTAAAATCCCACAAAACTTGTAATCAATAACATGAGTGTAATACAATGTATGAATGCACATAAAGTGCATGAATATTGATAACAATTAAGATACAACTGGTGATGTGTTAACATGCTAACCTAAACCTATTCGTAACATATAATTGTTCTTATTTAATTTCAAAGTTAAAATTATTCTCTGTTTGATAATTATCAAAAACATTAACTCAACATTAATTATGGAAATTTTTCGCGCATAATCATAATATAAAAACTAGATCAATTTTCATTCATTTAATACTTAAATGTAGCAAACTGTCATCAGATAAGTATTAATAACAACGACAGTTGATTTTTAGTCTCCTTTGTTTTAAACTTCCTACTCCCAACGAAATTCAACAATAAATAATCGTGCGAATTGTCGAACCCAAGACTACTGTGCTAGTGAAATACTCGTAATTTTGTGGCAAGTGTGTCACAATGATTAATGAAGGTGAATCCCGGTTAAAAAAAAAAGAAGGAAATCCTATAATGTTTTAATAGCGTTGAACGGGTAATGGGACGTTGATAAATAACAAGAGTAAAACTGTTGTTACAAACTATATCACGTGCAAGTACTCACCTTGAACACGGCCATCAGAAAGACGACGACTCTAAAGAGATTTCCATCCATCGTCGTGTAAATTATGTTACTCTCTCGCACAACGAACTAAAAAATACTGAACTATGATAACAGTGCGAGACACTTAAATGTTAGTACGCGTTATGTCTGTTTTGAAATTGATCGGCCGGCACACTATCACCGCAGTTGATCGAATGGGCGCGAATACATGGCACGAGCGCTGACACTGACTATATGTGCGTGTAAGTGTAACAATGAACAAGAAGATCTCAGGTCGTGGCTCGTCAAAGTTAAACTAGCCGAAGATGTTTTAATTGATTCAGACGATACTCGACTTAAACAACGACAATGTTTGCGGTTTGGCCGTCGGACGTTTTGTGTGCTCGCACAATGAGGAAGAAGACGGTTTGGCCGCCGTCGTCATGGACCAGCGAATTAACGCGTTCCTCTTGCCACTAACGTCGATTGCCCCACCGCGAGTATTCGCCTGGAAAAAGGTTTTGGGAATCTCAGGACATCTTGTCGATAAAGAAACCCACAACAAGACGGTGCGAGTGAAGGGAATCTTGGATGAAGCGATTTCGGCATTTTGACCCAATTAAATGGCGTGTAATATATATTTATTTTACAAAATTGACGTCATTGACAACAAACACAACATGTGACGTTTTCGAAAAAATATTTAAGAAAATGTTATTATTTTGTAATTACTGTACTATTCAATTGCAACCATAATTTTTAACAGTACACTTTATCTTTAAAGTCAATGCGTACTTTAAAAGTTTCTTAAAAGTCGTTCGAGATACATAAATGAAAGACATAAATAAAATGTGCACTATGTCAATTATGTTAATAAAATAATCAAATATTTATTTGTTCTCAAAGTATAACATAGATAATTATAAAATTATGGAAATAAGGCTCCACACAAATACTTATAATAAATCACCTAAAATATAATAACTGTATTAATAGTTTATTAATTACAAAATCTTTAATAATTTTAATTAACTCAAAGTTATTAAGGTGTAAACATAAAATGTTTTCTTTAAATTCAATCTTTTTAAATGATATTAGCTTGTTTAAATCAACATTTTTTGCGCCAAAATATATGATTGCAGATTTCGAATGTAATTTTGTCGCTAATTTCGTATCTGGCTTTAAAATTTTCAATTTGATTCTAGTTTTTGAGATATTAGCTAATTATTAAAATCACATAACTACGTTAATAATTGCTTATTAAAATAAAAATAATTTTTTTCAAAAATATCCATGTAAATGTTAATTGGCTATATTTAAGAAATGCTTGGAAAATTTAAGATCTATATCTCAAGTCTACAAATGCCCTTCTAAGTTAATTTTGAGGGTCATTTTACAAAAATCAAAGCTGAACTTTTTCCCTTGTATTTTTTTTTGCTTAAATCTATATAGAATATATTCTTATATTATATTTTTAATACGTACATTTTTTATGGCTATTAGGAAATTTTAAATATGTAATTTTTATCTATAAATAGACACTGAAATAATTGCTGTTTTCAATGCAAAAATGAGAAAAGTTATTACTATATTTCACTCGTATAAACTTGCTACATAAACCCAAGAGGAGGATCACGGAGGACCTCTACCTTGGAAAAATCCTGCCTTTACCACGAGTTATAGTATTTAAGTATTAGTATTAAGTACTAATAAGTATTAGAACCAAAAGAGTAGTATAAACTCAATTGTTAAACAATATATAACTTTTTTTTTTTTTTTTATAATAATTTATGCAAATATTTATATGAGGTTTAAGATTGTTACAAGAAAAACTCATGTTTTTGTTCCAAAAAACCGACCAATAAAAAAATATTTAGGTAAAACGACCACAGATTTCAAACCGACCTGCAACAAGACTTACACATTAATCAGTGAACTAGATTTAAAATGTAAACCTATCAATATCATTCAGACTAATTAATGGAACTTATAGTATTACAATTTTCTATCAGCCATACAATATTTATAATTATAGATTAGAAAAAAAAACTTATAGGGAAATTATCAGTTATGATTTTTGTAAAATAGCCCTTAAAATCAACTTTCAAAGCCATGTGTAGTAGCTTAATCTTAAAATATAAATCTCAAATTTAGAAAAAAAATTAATTTGAAAATTCTAAAGTGAGATTACAAATCAGTGACAAAATTCTTCACAGAATTTACTATGATAACTGATAGTCGCAAAAGTGTGTTGTGCAGTATAATGTAAGTCGCACAACAATGATTGTTTTCTTATGTAAAGTAATATGACGTGATTTATATTAAACGAAAAACAGATGTCTAAGTACGATTACTGCTGGCGTTTATGTTTATAGTCAATTATATACATTTGGTACGCGCGCTTCTTGCAGGTAGAATTATTTCTATCATAGTAGTAATAATGTGTTCCCACGGCACCAGAAATATTTTTCAATTTGTGTCTCACAATTTTCATATTTGTCTATTTATCGTTATAACCATATACAATGTAAACGCGTGACAAACACTTTTATAAAAAATATCTTTTAGAAATAATTTTATATGGAACAAATATTTTCTCACTACACGTAAATAAAATGTCGGCAAAAATTGTAATAGGTCATTATTATTATTTGATTAATTAATAGTAAACAGATTTTTTATGGCCTTACTATTGTAATAGTAAAAACAAACGTTTGTTGTCGAGTATGTACCAAAAGAAAGAAGAGGTTGATTTAAATTACTTACAAATGAACTATTATGCTTTTTATGCAATAACTTATTATCAAATAACATAATATCCTAATAATAATATCAAAATAATATTTTTAATTATTTACTTTATTAAAGGTTCTATGACAAAAGATTATTATTGTTTTAAATAACTATTCTGTTTATAATAATAAATCTTTAAGTACCTAAAAAACAAAAAAAAAAAATATTTGGAATCTAATGAGTTAAATTCTACATATTGCTAAAATATTTTAAACACAGTTTCATAAATAAATATGCTTAAAACGATAGTATTGTGGTATGAAATATAGAATTAGAGGCATAATTATACAATACTATTATATTTTAAAAATTTATATTATTAGAGCAACTAAAATAATTTACATTGCACGACTGTCACCTGTTTCACAGTTATCTGTATTATTTACTATTTCCACTGTGTTCTATACTCGGCGTTTGGATAACAACTGTTCATAATATTATCACTTTAAAAATTCTGTTGTTATTGAACTCCCTTTTAAAAATAAGTGGCAACCGCGTTTCCTTGCCCGAATTAATCCGCGTTATGATCGGAGGTTGACGACCATAGTGCATGCACCTATTTAATAGTAGTCGAAAGTGTACGGTAACTTGTTAATTTTAGACACGTGGATACCCAATATCGTTATCTTCGCATACCCACTTAATGCGGTCTGACTTCGTGTTCGCCGTACCGCAAAATAACAATAGATATTTGAAAGATGAAAAAAGTTTTTTCGCCAACTACAATTGCAGGTGCCAGTTTCAGTCGTCCACAAACATGCATTCGATGATCCGGCAAGGATTACGCACTGTGTCGTACAGCTGTGAGTCGTGTAAAAGAGAAGATTTGTTACTATACATTCGTGTAGCATAACGTAGTGAATGATGTTATGCGTGTGTAATATACTAATGAACACTAAATTCGTTTCAGATTGTTAACACCAACGTTTTGAATTTAATGATTAAGTGTATTATTTATATCAGTATTGTGTTTCTGCTCACTTGCAACGGTCAATTATTTTGATTGCTTCTCAACCAAATTAATTTTACATACTATACCTACTTGCCAATGCTAACTGAAGACGGCAGTGGATTCAGGAGAGGTGTCATCATGATATCATGACTTTCCAAAGTTTGTGCAATATCATGAATTATTTGAACAATTTTATTCCTAAATTTGGAGTTTTGAAAAAAACAAAATCGTTTCCTATAGTTAAATAATATCCTCAAAAACTGTTTACCGAATTCATAGCTGACTGAAGTGAAAAGAAGCAATTTGAAATAAACTCAAGCATAAGTTGAAAAAATGTACTCTGAATAAATGATGCTGAAATGCACTTTTATTTAATAATGGTTGTTTTGTTTCATTAGAACACATTTTTATGTACACTTTAATTACTCAGTTATAAATGTATACATCATATTCGATAAAATAGAAAAATTAAGCATATAATTTATTTTATTTTTCAATCTTCTCCCTATGTACGTTGTCAAATCAAATGTTAGATTATTGTAGTTTACATTTTATTAACATTATTTCTATGCAACTTGGTTCGTTTCAAATTAATTGCTTCGTTCAAATTAAAAAAACCCTTACACTTAACGATACTGCCACTATACAGTGTGATCCGTTCATAATAATCCACCGAATTACCCGTAAAATGAATACTGTATTATAAAAAATATTTTTGTATCTAGGCGGTAGGAGGGGTACGACCGAGAAATGTCTAATGTTAGAAATAGTCACATTCGCGAGTAAATGGCTTGCGCGTAGTCTACTGCATTTTTAGTTAAATAATATTCATAAGGTAATACTTACCTGAAATAAGTAAAATAATTAAAAAAAAAACATTTTTCGGGGTGCTAAATTAATTTAGGTGTGGTGATATTTGTTGTTTTGCGTATTTGGTCAAATTTTTTAAATGTGTTCACACAACCATAAAACCAATAACGGGAGAACTTGACTTTTCAATAATTTCATACGCAAAATCAAAATAGACCGAATGGAACGGATGCTACTTTAGGGTTGACGCGGTTGTGTTATTTCCTCAACCGCTCAGCGCGCTACTTACCTAAAAGGATATGCGTCGGGCAAGTGATAACAAGTTTAAGGTAGTCTAGTGTTGTGATGCAACGCCTTGAGTCGTGGGTACTAAAGCCGCACCGCGTTAATTTTTTCTCGTGAATTCCAGTACATTGTCCTGACCATCCGTCAGTTTCCGATGGTTGTGTCAGGGTCAGCCTTAAAATTACTATTGATTTAATTATATTTTCAGAGTAGTTGCAGCTAACGATTTATTTACATTAAAATATTAATTTTTTTTTTGTTAGTAAATTGACACCTGTAATACTAAAGAAACTATGACATAATTTTCAGTGTTGTTATTGTCAGGTACATGGTTTAGAATCGACCGTTATTTACACCTGCAAATATCGTCACAGGTCAATTGACAACGAAGAGAATATAAATGAACGTCTTGTAGATCTTTAGGACAATTTATAAATGGGACTAACGATCTAAATCAACTGCGTAATTACGTAGTTTTTACAATTAAGCAGTTTTTTATTTTTAGTTTACATTTTCAAGGATTTGACTCGGACGGTAAAAATTGTTTAGCGCAATTATAGTAAAACGTACAAATATCATCTGTTTAATGTAAATAAACAATTCAGTTGAAAATCTCAGTGACAAAGTTAGAGATGAAAAAATAATTAAAACGGTAGAATTTTGACCTGATTAATTTTTTAATTCGATTCAATAGCTTCAATTATGTATTACAAGTAAATTTT